AATCCATTTTGCAGATAGGGTAATTGAGGCACAAAGAAGAAAAGTAACATGCTTGAGGTCACACAGCTAGTAAGGGACAGAGCCAGCACCCAAGCCTGGGAAGTTCAGCTCCAGAGCCCTTGTTCTTATCCCCCCATACTATGTTGCCATTGTCTACAAAGAAAGGAAAGGCAGAAATAGCAGGCAGCATCCAGTGAGAGAATCCTTAGAAATAAGTCATAGTCAGTGGGACAGTGGGTCACTTGTCTCTACATATGAAACCCACCATTCCAAGACAGAGGAGAGTCAGGGAGAAATACCACTGACAAAACTGAGGTAGGAAATGCTATCAAAGTCAAAGTGCAGTCAGACCCCCCAGCCCCACCCCAGAGTAGAGTGATCTACTCCAAGCTTGTAGGAACACAAGTAGGAAGGTGAAGGCTTGCAAAAGACAAGGGGGGAACAAAACAGTCTCCGATTTGCTCTTTATCAGATGGAAGCCCTAACTAAGGACAATCATAAGCCGTCAATCTGCCCTTCATAACCAACCATCTTCTGCTATGACAATTAAATAAGAGTACACCTGCAATGGGTAAGCGGCAGGTCACATCCACATGAGGAAGAGGCTCTCCAGGAAGGTCCCGCAGGAGGGGATGTGGTGTGGTGCTGAGGACTTGAGCTCAAGGGTCACAGGCTGGACCAGCCACCTGACTTCTCCAAGCCTGAGCTTCCTCATCTGGAAGGAGAGGTAACCAGCCCCACCTGGCGAGGTTCTGGCCCGCTCAGAGGAGATACTACATGAAAATCATCCGAATACGGCAGAGCCTGGCAGAGTCAGGTTCAATGAATGGTAGGGTTGCTCCTTTTTATTATCAGCAAGTCTACTTGATATGAATTATAAATAGTTTGAGGAACAAGCTGAAATTAAGTGCATCTTAAAGACATGTTGGAAAAAAGATGAAGGCCAGAAAAGCAGAAGGGTCTGAGAAAAGTACAGCACAGAAGCCCATTTTGATGTCTGTCTGTGGTCCCCTGAGCTAACATGTGCCTCTGTGACTGTGCAGGTATCAGGTGGGTGGACACAGATGTCCTCCCCCCGCATGCTGGTCAGGCTTCTGAGTCCATCTGCAAGTGGAGCTTGGTGACATGGCACACACATTATCCTCCACCTGTGGAGGAGACACAGGTGTGTGTAATCCTGGCTGGGGGTGGGAGGGATCCTACAAAGAAGGCAATCAAGGGCCACTCGGGACAATGGAGAAACCACTCAGCATTGGGAAAAGGCTTGGGAGAGAAACCAGAAGACACAGGTCCTAGAACAAACCTGAGACTTTAGCCAAGTCTCTTAACCTATTTGGCCTTGGTTTATTTATCCTTCTAGCGGGTAAAGCAATCCTTGCTCTGTCTTCCTCCCTGACCGTGGACGGGACCAATAAGACAATGGATGCGGAAGTGTTCTATAAACTCTGTAACAGAAGCATGTGGTGTTGGGCGGTGGTGGGGGAGGTAGGAAGTGAGCCATATTTTCACCAGTGACATAAATGAGGAGATGGAGAAAATGCTCAGGACTTCAGGGAACGCAAGAGGGGCTGGATCTTGGAATGGGAGAGGGGAGCAATGCTGGGATCAGTACCCTGGACGACCAAGAACCAAGGGGTGAAGGGTCCATGAGGATAGACCTGGATCATCAGGAAGCTGAGTGTATTAAGAGTGTGGCTTCTTTGGGGCTTGAATTAGAGTAGAGTCACCCCCAAACCACAGTGACTCAGAGCTTGGAAGTATCACTGAGGCAGAGACATAGCTAGAGCCGAAGTGGCCTGGAGAAGAGAATACCCACCTATGAGATTTGAGGGCTGGACACAACCTTAGAAATCACCTTGGACAGACATTTTCCAACTTTTTTTTTTGGAACAGAGAGAACCTAGGTGACCTCTGAGGTTCCACAGAGTAGAATTCTCAAATCCCTAGTTGAGCCTCATTATTTTAAGGAGACACAATGGAATCCCAGAGAAGAGATGTGGTTGTCCAAAGGTGACATAGCAAGTGAGTTGTCACACTGGGACTGGAATTCAGGTTTTCTGATTCCCAATCCTGTATCTTAGCTTCCAAATTGGCTTTGTGTGTAGGAAAAAACAGGGGGGCAGGGTGGGCTTTAAGGATGTGATTTCATAGGTATGAAGATCCTCAAATCTAAGGACACCTCCCCTCAGCTGCCCAATGGTGCCTGAAATCCCACCTTTACCAACTTACTCACAGGTCTTCAAGAGCCTCAAGGTTGGAGAAGTTACCTTGTCTCCCCCTCCCGCAGGCCCCTGGGGAAGGGGCTGCTGAGTACCGACAGAAGTGCTTCGTTCAATCAAAGTGACATGTCTGTCTTTCTGTAGCTTCCTATGCAAGTCCCAATGCTGCCCTTCATCGCACACATCCAGGTCCTCTGCCGCAGGCCAGATCTTTGAGTAATCGAGGACAGTTCTCGTGTCCCTTTCCCCAATGTGATTTCCAGACTACATCTCTCATTGTCGTTGGTTCTCCAGCTTTCTCTCTTTTCACTGCCTGAGCCCACTACTCTGTATGTTCTCCATTTGGTGTTCTCTCAGAAGTGCTCTCTAACACTGTGTCCCATTATGCTGGGGGCACACTCATTAGAGCAAGGGGGTCATTTCCGTCATCTTCGGGGCCATAGCTCCATCAGTGCATCCTCAGATCACAATGATTTTCCTACATTCCACCCTTCGGCCTCCCATTTAATATTGTGTTGACTAAGAAGCCACTAATTTATACACAGGCTCTCCTGAGCCACTTCCTTGCCACACCTCACACTCTGACCTCCTGTTTTTTCATTTAAAGATCTAAGAGCAGGGCCTCACACTCTTTGCCAGAAAATTTCACCTTGTTACATTTAGCTCACAATTCTTAGCAGCCCAGATCTTTTTGGATCCTGATTCTGTCTCTCCGGTGAATCCGTTCTCCTTCCCAGCTTCCTGCCCCCTGCAGAGAGGTCCTTTGCACCTCCCTCCAAGTCACTGAGGCCCTCACAATGTGGAACTCGTCCCCTGGTTTATCTGCCCCATGGAATACGTGAGCCTGCTCTTCCACCTCATGACATCTATAGGGCATAATGATATGGAACATGCTCGTACCAGAATATTAGGTGACTAAAGTAGGGTACCATTAAATTCTAAAAGGCACAGTGAAAAGGAAAGAGATCATGTCAAAGAGATATGAATAGTGGCCTCTGTGTAATGGGTCATTTCCCCCCATGTTTCATTACACTCTTCATCCAACTCATATTTAATGAAGGCCTTGTGGGTGTATCTTCCAAAATTTCTATGCCAAGTATGTGTTATTTGGAAAACCAGGAAAAAATTAAGTGAAAATAAAATGAAAAAGAATATGGGGCGCCTGGGTGGCTCAGTCATTAAGCGTCTGCCTTCGGCTCAGGTCATGATCCCAGGGTCCTGGGATCGAGCCCCACATCGGGCTCCCTGCTCAGCGGGAAGCCTGCTTCTCCCTCTCCCACTCCCCCTGCTTGTGTTCCCTCTCTCGCTGCGTCTCTCTCTGTCAAAATAAATAAATAAAATCTTTAAAAAAAATGAAAAAGAATAAAGACTCTTTCCCTAGGTGGACCTTGATGACTTCATCAGCACTCTTTGGGGAAAAGCATCCCAGCCCTCCCTGCATAGAACTGTGCTGCCTTCCACCTGCAAGTCCCCTTCCGTCCACAGGGCACAGGGAAATCTTCTCGGCCTCCTGCGGGAGCCCAGGGTGTTCTCCCCTAAACCTGCAATCCACAGGAACCTTGGGAAAGAAGCACCAAGACCATGGGGGGTGGGGGAGGCTTGCCTTGGTGTGCAACCCAACGTCGCAGCAATCACTTCACGCACCTGCCCAGGTGTTGTTCCATCTGAGGGAACACGTTTAAGGCAGTTTTCCTGCCAACAGTTTTTGTAAAATGCTCCGAGAGAGCATAAGGGCCATGGTCCCAGTGGGTGCAGGATTCAGAAAGGCCTCCAGGTGGTGAGGAAAAGGGCCCAGCCATTAAGCGTCTGCCTTCAGCTTAGGTCGTGATCCCAGAGTCCTGGGATCGAGCCCCACCTCGGGCTCCCGGCTCAACAGGAAGCCTGCTTCTCCCTCTCCCTATGCCCCTCCCCCCCCCACTCATGCGCGCGCGCGCTCTCTCTCTCTCTCTCTCTCTCTCAAAATCTTTTAAAATGGGGGGGGGGGCAACCAGAATGACCCACTTGAGTCACTTCCAGGACTTCCTAAGGGAGGCAGGGCTAGGGTTCCTCCTTCTCCCTCCTCTCTGAAGATCAAAGGAAGCCTGGAAGCGTCGGGGTCCTCCAGGACTCCAGGAGATGGAACACCTGAGGCTTCACCAGGCTAAGTCCAGGCTTAGGGGCAAAACCCGGCCCTGGCTTACCCTCCTCCGACCAGCAGAGGGCGCGCGCCACCCGCGAGAAGGAGAGTGCCTCCCCAAGCCACCGCCGGGAGAGGCGGGTGCGGAACCCGGGGCGGGGGATCCCTTTTTCTGAAAATCAGGAGGCAGATCCACAGAAGAGATAGCGTTGGAGATACAGGGGCAGGGGGGCGTTTTGTGAATGAGGGTGAGAGAAAGTCAAAGTGAGGGTAGGCTGGGGAGGGGAGGGGAGGTGGGGAAGGAGACAAACTGGAGACAGGAAAGGTTAAGATGGTGTGTGGATGAGACAGGCTGGGATGGAGGGCGGGGTGGGGTGAGGTGAACGGGCAGGTGGAAGGCAGGGTGAGGCAGGTTGGGGTCGACTGCCCGGCGGTCAGTCGAGTGGGGCTGGTGCAACAGGGCAGTCTCCCTCTTGGGCTGAGCCCACCCACCAGAGGCTCCTCTGTCCCCTCTGGGAGCACCCAAGTCAGCTTTGCCCTCATTCTCTCCAACTCTTCCTTGTAAGGCCTTTCTGCTCAGGCCTGAGCTGGGCATCTCCTTTTCCCCTGAAAGAAAGGTTCTGGTGCATCAAAGAACACAGAGAGGAGGCAGTAGGGAGCTTGGGAGCTTTAATGGGTCTGGAAGGGAATAGAAACACACCAGGCCATCCTGCGTGAGAGAAAAGAGAGAGAGAGAGAGAGGAAGGGGGGCCGGAAGCTACCTAGATGAGCCACAGGGGCAGTGGCCCTCACCAAGTCCGGTGAAGCCCGGGTAGTCAAGGAGCAGGTGGACTGTGAGGCCGCTATCATTCTAGGATGGGGCAGCTCAGCGGGGGAAAGAAAAAACGAGAAAAGATTTGGAATTTGAAAAAGAGGGATCATAATGGAGGGGGCTTCCAGGAGCCAGGCAGAAGTACTGGTGGAGGGCAGAAAAAGACAGGGGAGGTCCGGGAACCCCCTTCGGGGCTCTGGGACCTAGAAGATAGAGGTTAAAGAAAGCCGGGGGGGGGCACAGTCACTCTCCCCCGGGGGCTGAGGGTACAGCGGGGGGCGGGGGCAAATCCAGTGTTAAAAGAAGACGGAGGAGGCTTCAGGTCCCTTCCCTCCCCGCCCCCCGGGGCTGGGTGCGGCGACGGAGTAAAATCTGAGATCAAAGGAACGGTGGGGGAGGCTCCGGGCCCCTTCCCCGGGTGTGGATGGGGCCGAGCGAGGCTCTGGGCGCCTGGGAGAGGCCGCACGGCACCCGGCCGCCCCGTCTAGTGGTAGTGGCCCCCCAAGTGCGAGGCGGCGGCCACCGCGCCGAAGGGCCCGGGCGGGGGCTGCAAGCCGGGGCTGGGGTAGAGTGCGGCGGTGGCGGCGGCCGTGGCGGCGGGGCCCGGGCCCGGCCAGTAGGAGAAGCCGGCGGGCGCGACGCCGGCCGAGGCGGCCATAAGGTTGAGTTTGGAGAGGCCGGGGAAGGGCAGCGGGGCGAGGCCGGCCGGCAGCTTGTAGAGCGCGCCGTCCTGGGCGGCGGCGGCGGCGGCGGCGTGGGCGTGCGCGGGCGGCGGCTGGCAGGCCTGGGCCAGACCCTGGAAGTCGAAGCGGTAGGCGTAGCGCTTGCCGTGCACCTTGCTCATGATGTTCTTGTCGTAGTAGTAGCGCAGCGCGCGGCTCAGCTTGTCGTAGTTCATGTTGGGCTTGCTCTTGCGCTCGCCCCAGCGCCGCGCCACCTCGTCTGGGTCGGTGAGCTTGAACTCGCCGTGGCCGCCCTCCCACGCGATGCAGCCGGCGTTGGCGCGGTCGGCCAGGAGCTCCAGCAGAAACTGCCACAGCTGGATCTGCCCGCTGCCTGTGGGGAGGGGGCGGTCAGCCACGGGCGGGGCGGGGCAGGCGCGGGGCGGGGTGCGGGGGAGAGGTGAGGCGGCAGCCCAACCCGGCCGGTGGGAACCGGCGTCGGGTGAGGGAGAAAGCGCGCGTCGGGCAGGGCAGCTGGGCGTCGCTGCAGCCGCTGGCCGGGGAGGGGCCGATCGGCCGAGCGGCCCTTAGCCTTTCCCGTGCTTTTGCACAATGGAAGCACGGCCCCCTCTTAGGAGGACGCAGCCCCGCGGGCTCCTGGCTTTGTGAGAATTGGGCGGGAGGGCGAAGCACAGCCTCCTCGGCGTGGAGGTAGCGGCGCCCCGGGGCACGCGGCTCTGGGAAGCCAGCAAGGGCCCAATACCGGCCCCTACTGCCACCTTGGCCCTGCGCCCTTATTCGGAGCGGAGAGGAGCCTACACGACCGCACAGGGTCGTCTGCGCAGGTGCTTAGACTGCCACATCCCAGCTGGACCATGTCCGCAAGTCCAGGGGGAAGAGGCCAGGGTGCAGCGGGACCACCTCCGCCGCTAGACAAGGCCTAGCCCTCAAAGGCACACAGTTGGACCGGCCCCGCCTGAGGTGGAGAAGAGGTGGAGGCTGGTTTTCTTGCCATACCAGACAGGAATGGGAGCAGTGGCCTCCACAGCGTGCGAGGAGGGTCAGACTCTGAAGGCTCCCCACCCCCTCCAGGGTCCGGGGTGCAGAGCGCCGCGCTGGCGTTACTCGGGTTCCGCCCTGTTTTTCGGACCAGCCGGGATTCCCGGCCTGGGAAGGTGTCGTACTTCGGGGTGTGATGCACAGCTCTTAGGAGAGGAGAGAAGACCGGGAAGGCTCTGCTTGGCTCCCTGCCTCCTCCCATCTTTGGCCATCTCTGGGCTCTTCGGGCCGGGCCGTCCAGATTTCGGGATTGCTGCAAGCGGCAAGTAGGATTTTCCCGGATATTCGGGTGATGAGAGAGAGAGAGGGCTGCCCGATAATTCTCTCTCACTCCCTGTTTTGGAGCCTCAGTCAGACAAGGGGAGAAAAATCTTGATCCAATGACTTTCTCTCACTCTCTTTTAGCGGAGAGGAAAAAAAGGATTTTCCGCGAAGTATTCTGATTATTGATTCAAATCAAGCCTGGTGGAGCCTCTCTTCCTTTCTCAACCACTCGCTTTGAACCCAGACGCTGCCCCTCAACATCATTTCAACCCCAATCCCTCCACACCAGCTCAGCCAGTAGCTGCCTGACTCCAGGCTGGGAGCTTTAGGGTCAGGAACAAGGGAAGGTTAAGGGAAGGTTTGGGTTGAAGCTGGTACCCACACAGACTGACATCAGAGGCTTGGAAACCCATTCTTGCTGGGAGTCAGTTCCCTTTTGGATAAAGCAGTTGCCAACGTTGTCATTGTGGTTCCTGTGACTTAGTGAGATCTAGGGTACTGGGGGGGGGGGGTAGGCTGTGGGGAGGCTTTGCCTGGAGGGCCAGCCAGGCTCAGAGACCAACAAGACAAAGCCTAGAGTAATTTAGCGACTTGGGAAGCCCGATGGAGGAACCTGAGGATCAATGTCAATGGCCCAGCCGACTTGGCCCCCAGAGCCCCGCTGGCCTGGGCCACTGAGGCAGGTAGGTGCTGACCCAGTGCTAGTGGTGAGAAGGACTGGAGTGGCCAGGGAGTAATTCCCCTTGCCCAGAGGTGCCCTGGCCTTGTGGTCCTGCTGCCAAGAGGGGAAGGACACCAAGCACCTGGGTCCTGGCCCCTCAGTGTAAAAAGGCCAAGGGCCAGGATCCTCTCCCTCTGCCCTGGTCTGCAGGTCCAGCTCTGGGACTCAGAATATACTGGAGTGGAGCCCAAGGCCAAGTGAATGCCCCCTCCCCTCAGCCTCCCCACAGTCACGCCTGGACCCTCCCTTCCCAGAGCCCCGCAGTGCACAATGCCTCCACCCTCAGGTCCGGTGGCGGTGGCGCCCGTCCTTCTGGGGTGGGTGCCCTGGCCTCCATCCGCTGTCCTCACCCCCACCCTCAACCCCCGTCCGCGGGCCAGCTCACCTTTCTGTACCGCTGGGCTCAGCGGCCCCCACCCCGGGCTCTTCCCTTCCTTGAAGAGACCGTCTCCGACGGGATCTGTAGCAGCAGGAAAAAACACTCAGGAGGACCCGGGCGGAGGTTGTGGGCTTGACGGAAAGGGCTCCGGGCCAAGGCTCGGGGGGGTGGGGGGTGGGGGGTTGGTTCCTGGGTGCGAGGCTGGGGGCTCGAGCCGCCAGCCCCTCCTCCCCGAGCCTGGCCCCGGCGCGCGCCGCGCGGAGCCCCTCCATAACGCCCAAGTCAGGAAACGCGTCCAGGAAAAAGGAAATCCGCTTTCCGAACGGGCCGGCGGGAGCCTTATAAAGCCGAGGAGGGAGTGCGCCCGCGGAGCGGGAGCGCCCGGAGCCCATCGGAGAAGAGAGGAGGGCGCCTGGAAGGCTGGGCTGGTGGGAACGCTCGGAGCACGGAGGTGAGAAGCCACGAGGGCGCAGGGGCGACGCTCAGCTGACCACAGCTTCCCAACGCTGAACGCACACTGAGTCAGTCCCCTGCCACACCGAAGACCCCTGCTCCCCCTGCCAGGCTCCCTCAGCCGCTGAGCTCGCGCCCTCGGCCTCCCAGGTTCCCAATCTGCTCACTTCGCGTCCTTAGACCTCACAGTAAAACCCCAAAGCTCCATCTGCCTTTAGGGTCCCCCAATGCCCCTCGATTGCTCAGTCCTCCCAGCAATCCTAGTCTCTGGTCCCGTTCCCTTGGACCCCAGCAACCCCTTCCCATGCCCGAACCCAAACTTCAGGCCCCAGGTCTTGGTGCCTCCAGCCCCCGGCTGGTCCCTGGTACCTGGCAGGTACATGTTGATCAGCAGGGGCTGGGAGGCGCCGCTCTGTCTCATCGCCGTCAGGGTCTGGGTGGTGGGAGGTGTGTGTGGGGGGGGATGAGAAAGGGGGGACGCGTCAGGCTTTGCGCTCCGGGGCACCGATCCCCGCCCGAGGCAACCGCGGGTGACAAGAAGACGGCGCGGGTCCGGCAGGGCCTGGCGGGAGGGGGCTGCCCGGGTGTGGCGGGGAATGGAGGGGGTCCTGGAGCGATGCTCCCAGCTACCAGGCTGCCTGGAACCCTCCGGCCCCCCGCGCGGGCAGGGGCCGCAATTTCCGTTTTAATTAAAGCGCTGCTGCCTCGGTCCCCCGGGCCCCGCCCCCGCCTCTCTTATCGCCCCATCGCAATAAAGTCTCCAACGCGCCGCGCCGCAGCCAAGCGCACCCAGCAGCCCCCAGCGCCCCGCAACCCGGGAGACGCGCGGGGGATGGGCCTGGGCCTCCAGCTCTGATAGGGGTCGGGAGCGCATTTCTTTTCCGCCTCCGTGACTCTCAGCAAACAGCGTTGGGGCAGGGTACCCGGCCCCACCTCGGACCCCCGGGGCCACAGCCCCTCCTTCCACCCATTCCAGCCCCCACCAAGGCTCCACTCTCCTCCCCCCTTCCTCCCCCCACCCCCACCCGGGTTCCCGTCTCCAGGCTGCGTTATCTGCATCTTCACTTTTAAATTTCCGCTTCCCTCCCTCTCGCCTGTCGCTCCGCTCCCGGCCGGGCAGCAGTTGCTCGCTTTATCTCCGCCCCCACCTCCTCCCTGCGCCTTCTCCCTCCTCCTCGGCTCCCACTCTCTGCTCTTCCCTAGAGACCCGATCTCCTTCCCTGTCTCCCTCTTGCTTTGGCCTGTTTCTTGCCTTTCCAGGGTTCCCAGGCCTCTGGGCCAACGTTGTGTCGTCCCCCCACAACTTCTAGCAGGTTGCCCCTCCCTCCCCCTTTTGTAGGTCTCTCCTTCCTCATCTAGTCTCTTCAATGCCATCCCCCCTTCCCGTCTCTATGCGCTCTCTCTCTGTCCTATCTCTCTCCTTCCCCTCCTTTTTTCATTCATTTTTTCCTCACTAATTTGGGTCATGCAGGAGACTCATGAGCCCCCTTCCATTTCCCCCCAAAAGGATTGCTCTTCCATCCTTCCCTATCCCCTGTCATCCCAGCCTACCATGCACCCTCTCAATTACTCCCATCCTGGTTATCCCTGAACCAGGCTGCAGCTGGCACCTTGCTCTAGCAGGAGTAGAAGGGTTGAAACAGGACTCTGTACTGTATACGGCCTCCAACCCAGGGGAGGTATGGAGGCTGAAATCCCTTCGAAAGACACTGATTGTATATTAGCAAAGCTGATGTGGTCCCCAGGTGGCCTGAAGTCTCTGAGTACCTGTGGGGCTTCTTGGCTCAAGAGAGGCTAGCTAAGGAGGGATGCTAGCTGAAGATGAGGCTCTGGGCTTAGGGGCCCAGCTGCAGGCATGCAGCACCTGGTGGCTACTGTCAGAATTGGTAATCTCAAGGCCTTTCCCTCCCACTGCTTGAGCCCAGGAGGTGAGGAGACTGGGGACTTGATGGCACACAGATTGGAGTGGGCAAGTTTCCTGCAGGAGCCATGATCCTGGAGTGCCCAACTGACGATGGCTGGAAAGTCCAACTTGGGGGGTTCTGCAGGGCCCCTGTTCATTCCTCACTTGCTGTAACTGCTGGAGTATTCGCCTTTCTGATGGAGGGTGCAAAAGTCAGAAGGAACAAAAGAGGAGTGAGGGAGGCAGAGTCCAGGGGGAACTAGGGGATCCTAGGACCCCAGGATCCTAAAGGAAGATGTGGATGAGGAATCTGGGGGGAGCAAAGATGAGAGTTTAGGATGTTCCTTGGAGACCAAACCCAGGGGTTCACAGGACGGGAAGGCCTTGGAGGTGGGGTTGAGGTCCTAATCCTTTACCTTCATGCCTTCTTATTCCTTTCCCAGATAGAAAATGAGGAGCAGAAGGTCAGAGCTGAGAGTGGGAAGGCAGTGGAGTTCACTCAATGCTCTCAGCAGAAGGCTGAGACAGAAAGAAGGGAGAGATACTCAGAGTTGGAGGTCTATCCAGATATCCCAGCTCTGGACTGGTGAGGGATCAACAGCTCAGGCTCTGTGTCTCTGCCTCATTAAAGACTCAGGTGCTGAAGGGGTAGGTGAGCTCTGGAAAGAGCTTGAGAGTTGCCCGCCCCCCACTGCCCCTGGGTCTTGGCTGCGCCAGAAAGGAGATGACCTCCTTCATCCCCTTTGGCCTTGGCTGAGTACAGCCAATGGACAAGTCCCAGGCAGCTTCTCCTCCATCCTCCTCCCACTTGGCTGGGTTCCAGTCCAACAGGGTTCTGCTGACCATCAACCTACCTAGAATGGGAGAAGGTTGGAAAGGTGAAAACACTCCCAGCCTGGTCTCTGAGCCCCCTACTCTCTAGGTGCCCGTGTGGGATGCAGAGTTGGACCCCTAGGTCCAGGAAAAGCTAGAAGGTTCCTGTTGACAAAGGCTGCAGCAAATATTAGCTCTCTCAACTCCCTAGTTGTATGGATGGGGACACTAAAACCTAGAGACGGGGAGTGTCCTATTCAAGTTCCCACTGCCATTCCTGCAGCCATCTTGCTGACTCTTCCCAGCAGCCACAGACCCTCCTAGAGGGAGGGCAGTTTAGCTGATGGTGGATACTAGATCTCCTTTTGCCCATTGCCTACCCTTGCAAAGCAGGAAGAGGGAAGAAGGGCTGCTGGGCTCTGAGGCTAGTTTGTCTGGGTTCTGGGTTCAACTCTGGTTCCCCTATTTCCTAGTTGTATGACTTTGGGGAAGTTAGTCTCTTCCTCTGTAAAATGGGGATTACAGTACCTATCACACAGAATTATGAGGCTTATATAACCCATGCTGAGCACTCAGACAGCCTTACATTTAGCTATTATTACTATTATCATCCTCCAAGGGGACAGTTAAGAGCCTGTGACCAGGCAGGAAATCCAGACTCTTTGGGGGCCCACAGAGGTGTGGGGTTCTGCTGAGGCCTGAGGCTTTTGGCCCCAGCTCAGGTCAGCCTTCCCTTAACAGCCTGAATTTGGGGTCAGGAGCCCTGTGTTCAAGTCCTGGTTTTGTCACCAGTAAATTGGATGACCTCATCAAGGCTTCTCCCTCTCAGACAGCCCAGAATCTTTCTTGATTGGTGAAATGGATGAAGTATGGGAGGTGTTAAGAGAACCAAATGCAGCAGGGGCATGGACTCTAGAACCCATCCATTTAAAAAGCAGAATTCATACCCTACCCAGAATTCTGTCCCTTGCTCCCCCGACTCTACACTGGGATCCATGGGTGGGTGGGGGGCAGTGCAGGAGAATGAGGGCCCTACTTTGACTGCCCCGGTGCTTTTCCATAGCACCACAAGCATTTTCAGTGGTTTCTCCTTGAATCCTCACAACCCTGTGAGACAGACAAGGCAGGGATCAGTAGCTCCACTTTAGAAGTGAGGGAATAGAGGTTCAAGGATACTATATGATTGGATCCCAGATGTTCTGACTTCTGTTCCAGGGCTCTTCCCAAGGGAGCAGATGCCTGGCTGCACAGGTGGGCCCTTGGGAATGGCTCAGGTCCAAGTCTAACTGTTCTCCAACATTGTCCTACCTCCTCTGGGCTCAGGCAATGATCTGGGCCACTCCTCCCCATTGATAGGTCCACTAGGGGCTTGAAAACACAAGCATCCCTGAATGACAGAATGAGGGGAGTCCCAAGGGCCTTGAGGGCCCTTCCTATGTGGGATTGAGAGTATCATTAACTGGGCCAAGTAGGGAACTGGGTAGAAACTGCCTTGGTCCAGGGACTCTGGTGACTGCTATCACTCAGCCCCAACATGGTTGTGGGCTTCTGCCACCTGCCCCAGAACCCAGGCTCACTGTGGTCAGTGGCTGAGGGCTGGCCTCTCCAGCTCACCAATCCTCTGAAGAGAGGGGAGGGAGAGGAAAAATGAAGAGAGGGTTCTTTGGAATTGCTGAGAGGAAGGGTATGAAAATGCTTTGTCTAAGCTGGAGCTCGATATCATGAAGGGATTGTTATTATTCAGACAAAGGGTCTGGGGGCTCCACTAAGAGAGAAAGTCTCCCCTTTAGAAAGCCCTGGGAGGCAGTGGGACCTCGCACTCATTTCTCCTCCTACAGCCTTGCAGAGACTATGAAGGTGGGAAAAGTGTGCAGGCTTTGCTCCGTTGGATATCTGGATATCGAGCCAGGGTGAAGATAAAGGCTGGAAATGGCCTGGGGGTTAGGGAGAAACCCAACTGAGCTCTGCATAGAATTAAGGAGGTCTTGTGGCAGGAGCATGCTGGTGCTTGGTCCGCGTGGTTGAAATTCAGCTATGAGCCCTGCTGTAGGGCTCTGTGCACCCAAACCAGAGGATGGCAAAGGCACCATGTGTGCTATGTTACACCTGACCCAAGCTGATGGGCCTTTACCAAGGAGAAGTGTGGGATTGGTTGTATTGAACAGGATCCCCAAAATTCTTGCCAGCAGTTTCCTCAGCCCTATCAGGGTCTAACCCCATACATCATAAGCCAGTTTATGCTCCATAGTCAAGAATCCTGAAGCCTGAGAGGAGGGTCAGGTTGGCAGGGAAGGACCTTAAGAAAGATTAGGATGAAGATCACAAAGCAAGACCACAAGAAAGAGGCAAGAGGGGCAGGCAGGTTCAGGAGCCTTTATTGAGGGTCCTCAGGGGAGGTGTCAGGGCTCTGGAGCTTAATGCTGGACTCTTCGAATGGACTGCAGCAGCCCGGTGTGGGCCTGCGTGCCAAATTCACTGTAGGTACGGAATTCCCCACTGTGCCGGTCCCGCTCCAATACATACTGGTAGCCTCGGTAGCCTGGGTACTGGTAGGCCACCCACCTAGGCCAGTGAGAGCACAAGGGTGGTAAGCAGACTCTGCCCCCACCCCCACCAATGTCCCCCATTAGTAGCCCTCCTTTCTCAGCCCCCATCCCCCCAGCTCCAAAACCACTGCTTCAATTTTCCCTACATGGATCTCTCCCTGCCTGGCCCACTGCTCCAGGTCTTCTTATCATGGTTCTCCCCTCATCCTCTATTCCCATCCTCCATTGCCTCCTCATCTGTCTTTTTAAAAAACCCTTCCTCTCTCCCCACATTGGCTCCCTGACTCCTATCTTCTACTACCTGCCCCCCACAGTCTGTCTCCATCATCTCACTTCCCCCAGTCCCCAACATCTCTTTACCATGTCTCTTAGCACCCCATCACCTTTCCCAACCCCCCTCCATGGTGCCCATTGCCTCCCTTCTCTTCTCATCTCCCTTGTTCCAGTCCCAGGACTCACGCTCCAGAGCTGACTTTGAGAGAACCCACATCCTTGCTGGCCCAGCCCATGGAGGGCAGGGATGGGTAGTCATCGCTGAGTTCAAACTTGCTGCCCTGGAAGTTCTCCCTCTCAAACAGTGTCACACGGCTGTCACTGTGATTCTGGAAGGTGAGAGTGGACAGGTCAGGCCCTTCAAAGAAGTGTTAATGGGTACATTCTCAGCCCCTCTTTCCCCACGTCGCCTCCCAACACAGCTGTGCAGACACTTTGGCTCCACAGACATTCCCAGAGATCACTCCGTCAGGTCCATAGCAGTCTGGGAAGCTGGGATGCTCAGAAGTCCCCAGCCTAGTCCCTTCTATGGCTTTGGGTGGAGGTGGTGAGACTGAGCATTTCCCAGAGACCTTTCCAGGTCAGGGCAAGAAGGCATCTTGCAATATGGACCTATTTGCAGAAGGAAAATCAGAGATCCTGAGAGAAATTTGGCCCATTAACCAAGACAGTTTTCCTAAAGGTCTCATTGACTACTCAATCCCCTGCCCAGCACCTTGGGTACAGCCTCTCACAGGATTGGGCCCAGCTAAGGGATGCCAGATGCCAGAACCAGAATAGACAGGCCAGGGCATCAGAGTTGGTTGGGTCTTGCCTTCCATAGCCCTACGGCCTTCCCCTCCTGGAATGGAGAAGCTAGGCTGAGTCAGCATTTGCTCTTTGCCCTTTACCTCTCAGCCGCAGGCCTCAACAGTACGGTACCTAAGTCAGCACAAGTGAGAAGTGAGAGCCTCACCTCCAGTGACTCATCTGATTCATTTGATTCATTGCCAACCCTTCCCCCACATACACACACACACAGACTGACCCCTTTTCACCAGTGAACCCTGAATGGAGTTCTAGTCTCATCTTCATGTTAACCCTTGCGTCCGAGGGCAAGACACTTTGCCCTTCTGAGCCGCATTTCCACACCTGTATATGAGGCTAACAGCAGCCGCCCCAACCTTGCAGGACAGTGTGATGACAGAAGCACTCTCTCATAGGTGTGGAGGACACAAAGGGAGGAACAGTAGGTGCTCAAGACTGGCCCCGTCTCGGTGCTGTCCGTGGTGCTGATTTTGGGCACCTGACTTAGGCCCACTTTCTGAACTTTTGGAGACTCTTCTGGTTCTGGGAAGTAATGCCACTACCACCCGTCTAGGAATTGTATTTACACATCTCCATACAGTGACTGGACAGCCTTTCTGAGGCACCACGGTGGGGTCAGGGCCTGGAGCTAGGAGCTAGGAGGCAGAGGGGCAAGGGGAGGGCTGTGCTTACCGCGCAGAGCACTGGCCGGAAAGAGAGCAGCTGGTCGCTGTGGTGGCCACCACTGCCGCTCCAGGCGCTCCAGCAAGGATAGTCACCCTTCTCCAGAATGAACTGCTGTCCCTGGAAGTCGGGGTACTCAAAGGCCACCCAACTGGGGAAAGATAAAGGAAACTGGGAGGCATCTGCCCCAGCCTCACTCCTTCCCCCCCACCCTCATCCCCATTGTGTTCGAAAAGACTGAAACCAATCTTTTTCTCCAACCCCAGGCCTGACATACACAGCTCACGGCACTCTGGCCCCCTCTAGAAGCTAGAGACACTAAACCACCTGCTATCCAGGGTTTGAGGGACCCAAGCTTCCAGCTTAGGCTCCCCAGGTTGGAAGGAATTTTCCAGCTTCTGAAGATCACCTAACCAAGAGTTCCTAACTCAAAGATTTAGGTGCCTGCAAAGGTAGGTGTAGGAATCCCCCAAACCTGCAGTAGCGATCTGTGATAGCAACAACCTGCAAAAGTCAGGGGCCTCAGCTCTCCTGAGGGCCCCAGGCTCTCAGAGACAAGGGTGGAGCGAGAGGAAGGAATTTGGCTTCTTTTATTATACCAAGCGCAGAGCCATCTAACTCTGCACAGAGAAAAACTCTGGGGAGGAAATAACTACACTGGGAGCCAGTTCAGGGTTCAGGCTGGTCCCACGGGGCGTCCGCAAAGGGTTGCCTCTCGCCTATATCCCTTTAGTTCACATGGTTTGTCTTGTGGCGCACAGGGAGTTCTGGGGAAGCCAAGGGGTTCCCCATGTGGGTCGGTCTCTCTCAGGCAGGGCTAACAGTCTGGGAAACGGAGGGCTGAGAGCTGAGGTCCCAGGCTTGGAGCTTAGGCCAGGGGAGCCCCGCGCGTCCCAACCCAGCCCGACCCCTCCTGAACCATCACTCACGCGCCATTTTCCACCTTGACAGAGCGCACCCTGCGCAGGCCTCCGCGCTCCGCGATGTTCGCGCAGTCGCTCAGCAGCCGGCAGCGGCGGCCCTGGAAGTCCTCCTCGTCCCAGAGCGTGAGGCTGGCGGGCGCTGGGCCCGGCGCGGGGGCGCTGCTCATGCCTCTGCGGGCGAGAAGGGCGGGATCAGAGGTTCAGCGTCCAACGGCCCCCCTCCGGGGCCCAGGCCCGCCCAACCCAGGTCGGGGGTGAAGAACTCCCGGCCGCACCGGGCTGCTAGCAGCTCTCCCTCACCTCGCCCTCCCCCGCCCCGGAGAGACCCTGCCCCAGCCCCGAGTATTCACCGGGTGGGGTGAGGGCTGGACTGACGGAAAATGGAGAGGCTGCGCGCGGGCCCGGCGGCGTGCGGGGCTTTATACTGGGCCTCGCCCCCCCTCCCCGCATTCTCTCCCGCTGGGGTGGGGGAGCTGAGTCAGCGGGCAGGCTGCGGTCAGTTCTCGTGTCCTCTGGGGGAGCCCAGGCCTTTCCCACAGCCTCCAATCTGGCCCCAGCCCTCGGGGATCACAATAGAAAGTGCTGAGGCACACGTCCCGCGCCCGCCGCAGCTGAGGCTGACTCCGCTTTTTCTTTTTTGGGGGACTGAGCCAGGCAAGGCGCACCCGACCTCTGGGCAGGTCGCGCCCTCCCTGGCCCAGACCTTTAGTGATTGAGGTACCAGGCCACTCTGGGGCCACCCGGCTAAGACCGCGAATTCTTGACTTGAGGCTCGGAAGTTGTTCCCAACGTCTAAACTCCACCTCTTCCTCAGGCCTACGTCGAGGCCTCTCTTTCGAGCGACGCTGGACGGGGTCAGACGCGGCTCTCCGCAAGCGACTTTCCTCACACCCCTCAGTCCTCTTTCCCACTGTGGCTCCTTTCCTCCCAAGCTTGAGTTCCCAGACCCGGCTCGGCGCTCCGGAAGTTTTCTTGCGCGAAGGGGCCAAGAGAAGGCAATGACCAGGACTCACCGCGAGGCGGCGCTGAGCTCAGGAAGCAAAAACCGCCCTAGGGAGGGCGCGGATTTAGGAAGCGCTTAGAAATAATAGTAACTAAGGGAGTGGCTCACTGTGGTAGGTAGAATGTTTCAACCTCAGGGCTACGCTTCCAGTCGCCAGACAGAGCTCCAGGGTCTGGTCGGGACCTGAAGGTCCTAGGCTCTTGCCCTCAATCCCAGTGCCCTGTGTGGTGGGGAGAAGGGTGGCAAGTGGGGGAAGGAGAGGAGAAAGAGGAAAGGCTTGGGGCCTCCAAGGGAAGCTGCAGGGAGGACATTTCCTCCCAATTCACAGCCGAATTTCCTAATCATCATAGCTGTCTGGCAAAATTGTGAGCTTTCCTTAACGGAGGGGCTATTTCAGCGGAAGTGGAGGGGAGAGTGAGAAGGGAGCTACTATTTTGTTGTAGGTGTTCAACAAGAGTCCAGTGAGGTAGGCTTGGACATATAGACGTGGAAACTGAGGCACCAGGGGGCACTGGGCCTCCTCCACATTCCCACGGCTCTTACCACTCAACATTCTGTGACTAAAAGGACTCAGGCCAGATGCAGCTGCCCCAGCTCCTGGCAGTCTACCATGCTGGCCAGCCATCCTTTCTCCCAACTGCCAAGTTCATTCCCACCTCAGAGCCTCTCATTACCTGGGGTGTCTTAGTCACAAGATCTTGGCAAGCTGGCTCGTTTGCTACCTCCTGGGTGATGCTGTTCCTGGCATTTACTGTTCATCATATCACCTTGTTTTCTTTATAGTGTTTATCACTCTCTAAAGTTGTCTTCTTTGTCTTTTGTTTATGAGTGTTTGTGGGTGCACCGAGGGTCTCCCTTACTTGAGTGTAAGCTCCATTTAAGGGGGCAGGGGTTATATCAGTCTTGTTCTTTGTTATCCTCAAACCCAGCACAGTACTGGACACAGAGTAGGTGCTCAATAAAACTTGAGTGAGGGAACAAACTGGTCAGGCTGGGCCAAATGTCCATGGGGGAAGGGGTATTGAGGAAATTCCCCAATGAGAGCGCAAGGGTAATGGTTTGCCCACTCTACCCCCCTCCCCGTCCCCAAAATTCTGGAGTGCTGAGAACAAGCGCTGGGAGCCACTGGAGCCTCCCTTGGGTCTCTCTTTTTACTGGTGAGGAATTGCTATTGAGGATCATAAGGTGTGTGAAGGTGAATGCCAAGAATAAAGCGCCCTAAAACAGGAGGAGTAAAGTCCAAGTTAGGAAAGTTTGCGTCACAGCAAGGACGACCACAGCCAGGCTTGACTGGAGATGGGGTCGGAAGCACGCCCAGTCCACGGATTCCCTACTCCAGAGGGGGTTTGGAGAAACACAAATAGGGTATAATTTCCCCAAAACCCATAAGGGAGGAATACAGACTGTGGAGGGAGGCCAGAGCCCGTTCTGGATTCTTCGTGTCCTGGCCCTTGCACTTGGTCTCACAAGTCGGGACTACGGACGTGGCGGGAGGTGAGAACCGAATCTCTCCTTCCCTCCCTCTCCCTCCCTCCTCCACCTCTATCGGGCAATTCTGGATTCGGCCGCCAGGGGACGCGAGCGGGCCGCGCTGGGGGGGAAGCCGGCAAGGTGGGGTGGAGGGGAAGGGGGAGTTGGTGGGAGGCTGAGGGCCGAGGGGCGGCGCGCGCGGGTGGCGAGTGCGTCAGGCTGTGCGTCTGCGCTGGTCGGTGACGAGGGCGCCGGGTGTTAGCCTCAAGGGTGCGCAGGTGTCTGTCAGAGGATGGACGCTGCGTCTGCGGGAGCTGGGGCTGGGGGCCTGGGCACGGCCCTGAGATCAGGATTCCACCTGATGGGCAGTTTGCAATCCAGCTGTGGGCCAGACGACCACATGCTACAGGAGGGGTGTGTGTGTGTGTGTGTGTGTGTGTGTGTGTGTGTGTGTGTGTCGGCCAGGGAAGTAGTGGGGAGGTAGTAATAGCTGAGATCCAAATTAGAATTAGGAGTCCAGCTGGGATTTGGGGTGGAGACCCTTCGTGTGAGAAAGGTTTCCTTTCTAGTCCTAAATCCTGAGCTTGGTCTGCTCTAAGAAGGTGTGAGGCATTAGCCAGCCTCTTCCCTCCTGTGTACCTCAGTTTCCTCATCAGAAAAATGGTCTGTGGGGCCCCCAGTCCATGGCCTTTAGTTCTACAGCTGTCTGTGACCAGCTCTCTCAGAAATGGGCACACCCACCAAGACCACCAATAGCCAGTTGCCTAGATCTCTCTCAGGGTCCCCACATCCCCCAGACCTTCCCCCCCCACACCCCCCGGCTCTGGGTTTCAAAGTCATGGAGAAAGGGAAGAATGAGCCACTGAAGGAGAAGGGGCTGTCAGGCAGGCCTCCCTGGTGTGCTGGAATAGGACTCTGGGATCCTTGTCCCTTTTTCGTGCTATGGACCCCCTCCCAGCCTCCTTTCTCCACGAGGCTGATCCAGCTCCAGCCCCCCAGCTTCCCCCCACCCATTCCCCTCCTAGCCCCCTTCTTCCCCCCAGCAGCTGGTCCTGTTTGTTTTCCCTGATCGGTTGCGCTCAGAGCTTCCTGAAGGATGGATGCACAGGTGGCTTTGTTTGCCAGCTCAGCACCCTCACCCCCACCTCCTCCCCATCCGCAGCCTCAGCCTTTGGGCGTGGAGGGGGAAGTTAGGCAAAAAAAAAAAAATAGTGTCCCCAGATCTACACCTCCAGGAGACCTCAAGACCTCATAGGGATCTCATCACCCTCAAAGAACTCCCCATCCCCACCCTCTCCAGTCCTTCATCTCATATGGGGACTTTTGCTCCCATAGAGAAATCTTCAGGACCACCCTCCCCACGATTCTACCAAGACACAAATCCCACAAGGTACCTTAAGATCCCACAGAGAAACCCTCAGACTCAATCCTGTGTCCTCAGCACCTGCAACCCTCAGATCCCACTCAGAGCCCCATCCCATCCGGGGACATACAGATCTGATAAAGAACCCCTCAACCTGATCCTGGGCTGCCACCCAGGTCTCTATCCCATATAAAGGCCCTGAGAGTCCCCAGAGACATCTCCCTCAGAGCCCCATCCCTGAACAGCCCTACTTCTCAGTACTGCTGGGCAGCTTAGAAGCGCCCAGTGGCCAATGTCTTCTCAAGTTGGCCCGCTCCCATCCCTTACCCCTCATTTCACTGGGAAATCAGCCACGGCTTCGAGTGACTGATGATGCAAATTCTGTGACTGGTGCCCTCCCCCTCCCCTGGTCCCCTCACCAGCCTCTCCTTTGCAGCCCTGTTCCTCCACCCCAGGCCCCCACCCCACGTCTGGAGCCAGGAACAGGCAGATGAGCACCTTCCCTGGGGCTGTGAGGTCTGGTCTCCTGGGAGACAGAGATAACTGAGTGAGAGATCAGCTCAGTTCAGGCAGGGTCCGACAGCTGGCCCAAAAGAGGGGGGTCCTGAGGGAGTGCGATCCCCACCCACACACCCGTTGTCCTTCCCTGCTAGAAACAGAGCCCCTCTTCTCTGCCCCTCAATGGGGACGTGGAGCTAGCTACCATCCAGGGAGATGGGCGGCGGCTTCCACTACCGCCCACTCCGCAGGCACAAAGCGGTGGGGCTCACACAGGGCAGCAGGGAGAGGGCACGCACACACGCGCATTCACGCAGTTCCAGGCACAGGGACAGATCCCACCCGCATCACGGGTGAGCACTCTCCTAGGATTAAATAGACCCCCAAAGTCACACTCATTTATGGGCAGACACTTGTTCACTCACTTGTTCCTCAGACATTTAATAAGATGTACCACATGTCCCTCTGTACTGGCTGTCGGAGTCACACACAAGTGTGCCCTTGTGACTTACACTTGCACCTATCCCATTCCACGGTCACCGAGAGAAGGAGAGAAGGCCGTTCAGTCACCTGCCCACGATCAAACAGATGCCGGAGGGTTAAGAGTGCTCTGGCGTCTTGCACTGATGCCTGCGGTCACATCAAAGCTCCACTGCTTATCAGTTGCACTCTACTCCTCAGTTTTTCCTTCTGTAAAATGGGAACCATAGTCTTAAAAACTGTTGTGAAGATGTAAGAGCATGTAAAAACAGAACCGGCCTGCAGTATGGACCCAATAAATGTTAGCTGTTATTGCCACTGTGGTTGTGGTTATGACTGGCTTTGCTGCATGGCTTCCTTTCCCCCATACCCCCAGGCCTGGCTGGGATGGAGATTGGAGTCAGGGCCGCAAGCATAGCTCTGGGATCTGCATGCCCCTTCCCACATTGGCCTTGTGGAAGCCAGCTTAGCACTCGGGATGGGGAGCCTTCCTGCCTCACCGCATTCAAGCCCCTCTGCTCTTTATCTCAGTTTGGAAGGGTTGGGAGGGTCAGAGGGGGCTATCTCAATTTCCTTTCCTCCGCCCTTCTGGGAAAAGCACTTGGGACTGGAATTGGAGACCTGACTTCTGGTCCCTGTGCTCTTCTGGCTCCATATGTGCCCTTGGGCAGGTCACTCCCTCTCTTGAGGCCCCAGTTTTGTACTAACTGCTGATCATGGAGGGGCCTCCCACCCCTGACTGCTGGGATCCTGTGATGCCTCAGGAAAGCTCCCTCCCCTCCCCACCCAGCCTCTGCACACACCCGCCCCACCCCCCAGCCAGAGTGAGGGGGCGAGTTGCCAAGGTCGCCATGGGGACTAATCTCTAAGAAGGTCAGTGAGGTTCTGGTCCTACCTTGGTCGGATGGGGATTAGCACCTGGTTATGACCTCCCCCCTCCACTGGTGCCTCCACTCCCAGGTCTCCTGAGTCTCACGTAGACCCTGGGCAGAGGTTCCAAGGCTGGGCCACAACCAGTAGGTGGGTAGGGGACAGGTCGGCTGCCAAAACTGTCTCTGTAGCTGTGGCCAGGAAAGAAAAGGGCAGAGATGGGCTCAGACCCATGCCCCTCGCTGCTCAGTGTCCAGCGGGGACTGAGCCTTGCCCCTCTTTGTCTTTTGCCCTTTAATGGGGAGAGATGGGTCTCCCAAGAGAAGAGTATCAGCCCTACCCCCTGGCTGTAGAGACCACCTCTCTCTCTCCTCTCTTGGGGGTAATTTCCCCCAATGTGGGGTTGGAGGCTGTTCTCACTTGGTGGACCCCTACCTCCACACACACCAGGCCTTCACCTCCGGTTACCCTGACCTTTGACCTGGCATCTTCACATCTCCCCATCTCTCCGAATTGTACGTCTCTGGTTATGTCTGGTTGCCTCTGTCCTTCTTCTCTGGTTTCTCTCTGGTTGTCTCTGCCCTCTCCCTAGCTCTGGCTTTCATGGGGGCCTGGGGAGGGCTGCAGCCTCTCCAGGTCCTGAAATCTCCCCTGGGTCTCCCATCCCTCTGGGCTGCATCCTCTGTCTGTCCTTCTGCCCTGCTTGTGTTTTCTGCTCTCCTTCTCCCCTTCCCATTTCTCCTCCGTGCTCTCCCAGTCCCGCGGCTGCCCACACTCCAACTGCTCAGTCCCTTTTCCCCGCTTCCTCCACTACCTGTCCCCTCCCCCGCCTGGGGTGCTGACAGGGATGACAGGAAGCAGGCTCCGGCTGGGAGCAGGAAGGGGGAGGGGTAAGGGGGCCGCTCGAACACCAGCTGCTGAGCACCCCACCCCCACACAAGCCCCGCACCTGCAGGCCAGCCTGGCGCCTGGAGTCTCCGCCCCTGGCCGGGCAGGGAGGAGGGACCTGGACGAGAGGCCCGATTTCTGGCCTCCGTCAGGAAATGCGGGTCTTGGGGATAGGGGGTGGAGGTCTGGGGAATTTAGGCCCCTGGGTGGGGGGGAGGCAGGGGCTCTGTCACGAGGGCAGACCCAGCCCACTGGCGGCCTCATTCTTCCCGACCCCCCCACCCCAATGACTGTGTGGTGGAAGAGGGTAATTTCAGGGGGAGCTCTCTTCATTGTGCAACCCCAAGATCTGAAATCCCAGCCCGAGGTGGGGAGCTCTAGCCCCCTTCCATGATTAGGGAGGGGAAGAGGAAGCCCTCACAGACCCAGGAAAGATGTGCCAGGGCCAGGCCCGGCCCCTGATAGGCAAATCATCGGGCCAGGCAAGGAGCAGAGGGCTGGGCCCAGCACAGAAGCCTGGTCAGAGAGGGCAGGATGGGGGCTGCACACCCCAGCCTGGGGACCCATAGATGCCTCCCTCCCCAGGGCTGCTGCAGTCCGCCCCCTCCCAGAACTGCCTGGAATCTGTCAGAGCCATCTCGTCCCCTCCCCCTCCCTTTCCTCTGCACAGAGGACTCAGCAGATCCCACGGGGCCTGCGGGTAGTGGGTGGGGATGGGGGGGAGGGGCGGGGGACAGGTAGAAGGGACAAGACAGCACCTCCCCGAACATCCAAAATGGAGCTGGAAGGGACCAGTGACTCCCGACCTTCCTTCGTTCTCTCTCCCCTCCCCTCTCTCTCCTGGTGGTCAGGGTTGGGGGGGACTAGGTCTGCCTGGGTGTGTGGTGGTATAGTCCATACCCCATGATGCTTCCTCGCTCTAAGGGGAAGCTAGCTCCTTACTGCTAAGGCTTCTCTCCACTTCGGACCTACAACAAGCCCCTCTCTCTGGGGCTAGATCAGCATCACCATCAATTTTGGGGAGGAGGAATGGAGGACACCCCGGGGTCAAAGGACAGAGACTCGGCTAAAGGCTCAGACTGACCTCAGGCTGTGTGTGGAACCCTCAGTTCTAGACTCTCCAGGCGGGAGGCCAGGGTCTAGGGCAACCTCCACTCCCTCCCCCATGTCAGACCTTAGCGCTTGGAATCACTGCAGAAGGGGGCCAGTCTGTCTGAGGTTTGGGCTGTGGCTAATAACCCATGGGTTCCTGCCTAGGAAGAGGGCCATTCACACCCACCTTCACCCCACCTGTAGCTGCATGAAACAGGCGGCCTTGGGATTATGGAGTTTAGGAAAGGTGGTGAGCTGAGGTCCCTGGGGACCCCATCTGGCAAGGGCTGCGGGACCCCATGTTTGTCCTTTTCAATCAGTCTGTCTGTCTGTCTCACACATAGGAAGACCGAGAGGGGCCAGGGAGATGGCAGGGAGTGAACCCTCAGGATGTCAGCACCAAACAGATCTGGAGAAGCACACTTGATCTTCATTCTGGCTCTAGCTCTCCCAACCCAGCTTTTCCACACCCCACAGCTACTGCTCCAACCTCTTGAGGGCCTCCAACTTCCCAGGTCAGGTGGCTCAGAATTATTGCTGGAAGCCCAGAAACCAGGATCTGGGGACCGGGGAGGCACTCCTGGCAGGCCAGACCAATCCCTCTCATTGAGCAAAGAGGAAAACCCGAGGAGAGGCTGGGAAATGACTTGCCCAAGGCCACAGAAGTCGCTGGGGCAGAGCGGGACTAGAAGCTGGGTTTCCACTTCCAGAGGGCTCCTGTTTCTGCCACAGCCCCTTATGCCACCCGGTGGAGCCTGCTCGGCCGGCCCCATATTACCCGGAATCAAGCCGGGCAGCCCTGGAGTTGCGGGCAGGACAAGGCAGGGCGGGCGGGGCCGGACGGGAGCCGGATCTCCCCTGGGAGCGGCGCACAGCCTCTCCGACCCGTACGGCGGCGGCGGCGGCAGGTGCCTGCGTGGCGGTCGGGCCCGGCCCCCGGGCGAGTGCTGAGAGGCCACCCCTGCCTCACGCGAGCCGAACGAACAAAACGCTCAGGTCCGGTTTGTGCGAGGGGCTCGTCGCGGGGCGGGAGCGGAAGGCCGGGGGGCCTGGCTGTGGCCCTGCGCGATCTCCTGGTCCTGGTCTTCTGCGAGCGCCGTGGCACACAGCGCACCGCTAGCCGCCGCCCTCACCTGCGCGCATCTGCGGCTGACACGTCGCCCGCCCAGGAGCGCACCTGGCCCGCCCCTCCCTGCCTCCCTTCCTGGCCACCCTTCACCTGGCCGGGCTCTGCTTGGCTTGGTCCCCAGCCCACTCCCCGGAGCTTGTGCAGGAGCCTGGGCTCAGCGCGCTCTTATACGGCCTGCTCAGTCCCCGCCCCTACACACACACATACACACACACACTCACACCTGTCCGGGCGCCCGTTTGCTCGGAGCAAATATTGACTCAGAGGAGGCGGAGCGCCCCCACCCCCTCCCCGCCCCCGCCTGGGTTCTGGGGCCGGAGCTCTTCCGAGGCCTTGGCTGCGGGGAGGGGGGGGTGTCGGGGACCTGGGCGCCTCTGGAACAACACCAGATGTCACTTTTCCACCCACCTGCCTGGAGGGGGGGGGGAGGAGTTGCAGAGGACAGAGGCTGCCGGGAGGAGGTTAGGGGGAGCGGGAGGTGGGTATCCTAGGGAAGGCGGGACATCATCTGGGCTGGGGATTCAAATTCACGATGGGAGTCGCTTAGTAGGGCCTGTGGCCTGCTGTCTAGCTGTGACCTCCACCCGCGTCCCAGAGTGTAGCTCTTAGCCCTCCGCGACGTGCCTCGGTTTCCCTTCTTTCTCAACCTCTCATCACAGTCCCGGGGAGCCCGACGGATGTCGAGAAAAGGCTGGCGATGGAGGGACCGAGCCTCGGAGCAGGCGCAACGGTGAAAGGGGAGGGGTGGTCACCTCGCCCTGCTGCCACCTGCTGCGCCGATAAGGCCTGGCGCTCAGTTCCCGTCCCCCAGGCAATGCTGGGGCAAAGGCCAGTTAGGCCCCGCCGGAAGCGCCCTCCACTGGCCAAACCAGGTCCAGCGCCCGGCAGCGAGCAGCCGGAACTCTGGCCCAGCTGCGCTGTGGAGGGGAGAGAAGCAACCTCCCAGCACCCAAGGCTGCAACGAGTCGCTGCAGTCCGCCTCAGCCGCTCCAACCATCTGTCCCTCCCAGAGCGCGCTCGAGAATTCCTCCTACGTCGGGGAAATAAAGTCAAGGCAGATACAGAAGGCCAGATGCTTTAGTGGTGGGGCGGTGGAGAGGGGGGCCCTGAGGGCAGCAAGTCGGAGGGGCTGGGCTGTGGCATCCTCAGAGAGTCGTTAGGGGGCCGCGCCACCAGGCGGGGCACCTCGGCATGCTGCAGCCCGAGGGCCGCCGCCGAAAGCAAGTCGGGAGTCTCAATCCTGGAAGACAGAAAGCCCCAGGGAGAGGTTGGAAAGAGGCTTCGGGCCAAGCCTGCCCGCCCCTGCCGCCCCTCGGGCGCAGTCGGCGCCCCCACCTGGAAACGCTGAGCGGCGGCAGGGCGATGACGCGCGGCCGCGAAGTGAGCACCACCTCCCCGCGGCTCGCCTCCACCAGGATGTTCTGGATCATGTTCTCCAGCAGCGCCTCCTGCAGGTTGGCGAACGCCGGGAGCCTGCGGGGGGTGGGGTGGGGAGGGCGGGGTGGAGGATGCGGTGTCAGCACCGCCGTCGACGGGGCTCGCCTCCTCCGCGGATTCTCATTCCACTCCCCGCCCTCTTAGCACTATAAGGCATCCTTGTTCCAATTTTTCAGACGCTCAAATTGTGGCTTAAAGGGACCAAGTTGCCAAACGTCCTGCTGCTGGAACAAGTGGTGGGACCGGAGCCCAGGCAACTGTAGGTCCCATCTCAGGGCCACGTGTGGGGAGAGGCATCAAGCTGTGAGAGGGGCCCAAGGGACTGGGTGGGGCCTAAGGAATCCCTACACGGACAGGGAGGGCCACAGAGCAGCCCCAGGCAAAGGCCCTCTGGGAAGCAGTGGCACTTCTCTCCTGGCTCTAGAAACCCACTGAACGACCCCCTGGAAGTGGTGTGCTAGAAAATGTTAACAGCTGGGTCTTGGAGGGAAAGACTAAAGCTCAGAAGGCCTTCAGCTACCAGCGGGATGTCAGTGAATGCGGAGCTGGGAAGAGCCTTACACCCAGACAGAGGCTGGCCCCAGCACCCCACTGCCTACTGGGATCCTTCTGCACATCCTGCCGTGCGAACCTTCGTCTGGGTCTGGCTGCTCACCGGCTGGTCGTCTCCTTCTCATCCTGTTCTTGCTCCTCTTTCACCATGACCTTCAGCTGCTGCTGCCACCGCCATTTCAGGGACTCCTGGGCCGTGGGCTGCAGTGTGGGCTCAGTCCCCGTCCAGGGCACCTTCTCTTCCTTCTCCCCCTCCTCCTCCTCCTCCTCCCCTCTGCCTGTCTCCTCCTCTTCCATCTCCTCCTCTTCCTCCTCTTCCTCCTCCAGCTCCTCCTCTTCCTCTTCACTCTTCTCCTCCTCTTCCTCCATTTTCTTCTCCAGCCTCAGTTTGTCATCCTCAGACTCCTTGTCTCTGCTGGCCTCCCAGCTGCTGGAGGATGGAGACAGGACTGGTGCTAACTGCAGGGTGTTGTTCTGGGCCGTGAACTTGGCTGACTGCTCATTCCAGAACTGGCAGAAGTAAGGCATCTTCTCCACCAGGCTTTGGTCCACAGCCTCATGGAAGATCTTGTCTTCTAGCAGACCCCTGCGTGGCAGGGAGGAGGAGGAGACCCTTGCCAAGAGGCCTTGAAAGGGGGCTTTGCACACCCTGTGGGGCTCTGGCTTCAGAGTTCCTCGAGGGGCAGTTCTGACTTCTATGTCTACAAATGGGTGCTTGATGTGGGAGGCCAGCCCTTAAGTCAGTTGCCCCGCCCACCCGTCCTTTGGAGGAAGGCTTCTCTGGGCTCCGTGGGTTCTTAGAGGCAGAGCCAGGTCAGAGTTACACAGATAAGGGACAGGAACCCCGGGGGAAACAGTGAACTGGCTCAGACCTTATCTACTAGCCCTGGACAGGACAGAACTCAGGATCCAGCCCCGAGGATCCTTCTAGCAAGCTCCATTACAGCTGCCCCATACTGCAGGGCCTGGGGCCACCAGTGGAAGGATCTTGAGAGGAAGTTCTATTTTTCAGGAAAGGAAGGGCTGGGGCTTCAGGGGCCGTGGGTGGACACAGAGCTGGCTGAATGAGCTGCTGAGATGAGGGGGATGGTGAGGGTCCAGGGGGGTTACCTGATGATGGCGGTGAGACAGTCAATCAGGAGCTGCTTCTCCTGCTTGGAGACGGGGGCCCAATTGTCTGGGGATTCTCCCTCAGAAGCCTCCAACTCCTCCTTGGGGTATTTCCTCTTTGGCAGCTCCCTGGAGCAGGCCATGACATTCTGAGTGGCTTGGGCAAGCCACCAGGCTGGGGGTAGGGTTATGAGCAGTGGTGGTGACCATGCAGTCATGAGAACATAGATGAGCTTTGGACAGCCCCCCGCCTTGGCCCAAGTGTAGTGCTACTGCATTTGGGGACCGAAGCCCAAACCTCAGGGTTGGCGCAGGACCTGGAGAGGTTCCAAATTGGAAAGGGGAGGTAGGAGGTGGGGCAGGAGGCCTGGGTGGGTGCCCCAGGGGGCAGAGACCCCGCCCTCCCTGAGAGTTCACCGGTGCAGGAAGTGCCGGGGAAAGTCGGAGAAGAAGTTGGCCAGGAAGTAGTCAGTGGCATGAGCCCGGGCCGTGAGGCCCAAGCACAGCATGTCTGGCGAGGGCGGCTGGGGACAGAGCCAGAATATCTTCTTCTTTGGGATCTTAAGGTTCCAGCTGACAGGCCGGCTGAGAGGCTGCTGATTCTTGATGGGGGGCAGCGTCTTTGGAAAGGGGAAGACGTGGGTGACAGGGGTGTGAGGACATCACTCTCTCACTGCTGGGTCCCTAGCCCCAACCAGGCCTTTGGAGCCAAATCGGAGTGTGACCCCACCCATTGGCACTTCCATCCCTCCCTTCTAGGCGGCTGGGCCTCCTAGGCCCAGAGGTATCTCTGGGAGCAAGCAAGGACCTCTCAATTTATGCCAAGGAGATGGGGCTTTATGAGCTCACCCTGTACCTCCTCCCAGGTGCACAGGCCCTACAATACGCTCCTCCCTGTGGAAGCAAAGAGCACCGTGCTTAGGGTACAAGAAGCCTAGAGGGACTCCTCTCTTCTCACCTTTCTGCCAACCCATGCGGTGGGGGTGGGGGTGGGGGGCTGGAAGCCAATGCTGGGACCTGCTGCCCTCTTGATCTCACCCAACTCCCAGCCACACCCCCTTCCAGGATCTTCTTTCGGGAAATGCTGCCTGCAGACAAGGAAAATCAGACCACCCACTGGAGGAAAGAAAAGGAGATGCCATCAAATGTATGCAGGTTGTACCAAGGGTGCTTGTCCTTGTGCCTCGGATCACAAATACTCTCCTTTATGAAGATTTAATTCAGAAATCCCTTCTCCCGCACCCTCCAGACATGAGTTGCATTCATAGTTGGGCCAGAGCTTCAGAGGGGAGCGGTGCCTCCCTGGGGACTGAGTGTGGTGAGTGCAGAGGTGATCAAGGTGCAAGAATACCAGCACAAGGGGGCTGGGAAACTGGAGGAGGGACCAAGGGGGCTGTTCTGTCTCACGTTTACTCTCCGGCTCCCCTACAGATACGAATAGCCTGCTTAGTGCGTGCTTACTGCTCACACAGCTGTAGGCACTGTATGTGTTTAGCTCATTCAATCCTCACAACGGTGCTGTGAAGCAGGCACTATTTTACTTGCATTCAAAATATTTTCTAAACTTTTATTTTTAACCTTCTTAATATGGAAAATTTCAAATGTATAGGAAAGTAGAGAGAACGTACAGAGTCCTCCGTTACCCACCACCCAGCTTCAACAATCAGCAGCTCATGGCCAATCTTGTCTCATCTGTGCCCCACCTCTGGATTATCTTTTTGTTTTTTTTAGGATTTATTTATTTATTGGGCGCCTGGGTGGCTCAGTTGGTTGGGCGACTGCTTAGGTCATGATCCTGGAGTCCCTGGATCGAGTCCCGCATCGGGCTCCCTGCTCGGTGGGGAGTCTGCTTCTCCCTCTGACCCTCCCCCCTCTCATGCTCTCTGTCTCTCACTCTCTCTCAAATAAATAAAATCTTTTAAAAAAAAGATTTTATTTATTTATTTCAGAGAGAGAGAGCACGCGTGCACACACACTTGTGTGAGCAGGGGAGAGGGGCAGAGGCAGGGGGAGAGAGAGAATCTCAAGCAGACTCCCCACTGAGGGCAGAGCCTGACCTCAATCCCATGACCCTGAGATCATGACCTGAGCTGAAACCAAGAGTCAGACGCCTCCCCAACTGCGCCATCAGGTGCCCCTGGATTATCTTGAAGTCAATCCCAGATACAACATTACCCCTATTTTATAGTTGAGGGAACTGAGACGTTATGTTAAGTAATTTGACCAAGATCCCAGAACTAGAAATCATCAAAGCCAGAATCAAAACTGGGCAACTTGTCTCCAGAGCCTGCCCCCAAAACCCCTGTCCCACACCGTCTTCCATCAGAAGGTGAGTTGTCTTGTCTCCCCTGGGTCCCCGGTGCCCAGCGCTTAGCAGGCACCCATTAAACACTGGCTACATGAGGCAGGGAATGGTCAGCCAGTCTTCTGTGTCCAGAAGAGAGTCTCTTGGGGAGATGCTATGCTTGGTCTAATGAAAGCAAGCTAATCTAGGACAGGCTGACCAGTTTTGCACATAGGACCACCTCACATCATCACCTCTGTCCCCCCTGGTAAGGCCAGTCAGAAAGATCTGTGGTGTTCAAGGCCCACTCTGGCCTCCTCACCTTCCCTTTCCTATCTGTGATGGTGAACTCCACTTCCTGCCGAACTTCCTCATCCTTCCACTCCTGTAGTTCCTTATGGTACTGATTCAGGAGTTTCTGTCGGTATACCTATAGCCCAGGACAAGGAGAGAGAAGGCCAAGGTCTGGAGCACCTGTGTGCTGTGGACCCCCACCCCCCACTCCCCAGGGGCTGGCCCCCGCCTTTCTGTGAAGGTCTAGGGATCTCATAGCCCACCCACATCCCAGTACTGGGAGCTATGCTCCATCCTAGCTTCTCTCTGGTGCTGGTCCTACCTTGCATACCAGGTCTATGCTGTAGAAGCTGGCATGCACTGAGGCCTTCAAGGTCACCACAAATGGGACTGTTTCTTCAGGAGCCACCTTCCCTGTCATGGGACTCACAGACACCTGTTTGGGGGAAGGGGTCTCTGGAGCTTCACAGGAATGGGATAGAGTGGGATGAAATGGAGTGGGTATGATGGGGTGGGATGGGATGGAATGGAATGGGGTAGGGTGGGGTTAGATGGGTTAGATAGGACAAGATGGGATAGGATGGGGTGGGATTCAGTGGGATGGGATGGGGTGGGATGGGGTGGGGTTGGATGGAGTGAGACGGGTGGGACAGGATAAGATGGGGTGGGATGGGGTGGGATGGGGTGGGATGGAATGGGATGGTGTAGGATAGAGTGGGATAAGATGGGATAGGATTTAATGGGATGGGGTGGGAAGGGGTGGGGTTGGATGGAGTGAGACAGGTGGGACAGGATAAGATGGGGTGGGATGGGGTGGAATGGGATGGGGTGGAATGGGATGGGATGGAATGGGATGGGGTGGAATAGAGTAGGGTAAGAGGGGGTGTGATTTAGTGGGATGGGCTGGGATGGAATGGGATAGGATGCGGCAGGATGGGATGGAATGGGATGGGTTAGAATGGAATGGAATAAGATGGGTTGGAATTCAGTGTTATGGGGTGGGATGGAATGGGGCGGGATGGGATGGCCTGGGGTAGGATGGTGGGTGGGATGGGGCAAGATGAGACAAGATGGGATAGGATGGGGTGGAATAGGGTGGGCCTGGAGCCCTGCTAGAGGTTCTGATTCTGCGGAAATAGGGGACTCTCACCTCCCCAAAGTCTAGAGGCTTCAGCTGCCACTCAAAGACAACTGGCTCATTCTTGGAGATGTTGTTGAGGAACAGCAGGCGGCTGCACTTGGTCTGCACAGGAATGTTTCCCAGCGAGATATGGGACTGGGACAGGAAGACATTCTGTTGGTGGAGACAACACAACAGCCACTTTGGGAGGTGAAGAAATCATAACCATAGCAACCTCTCCCAGTTACTGAGTGCCTGCAGCAGGCACCATGGTAGGCCGTTCACACACATTTGATCCTCACCATGGCCCTGTGATATATGTATTATCATCCCCACTTTACAGATAGATGTGCTGCTAAGGTTTAGAATTTTTCCAAAGGTCTCTTACAGGCACAGTGGGGATAAACCCAGTCTCACTCTAAAGTCTATGCTTTTGACAATTAAAATAGGCTTGGAAGGGCTGAGAAATCAGAATTTGCTTAGAGAAGACAGAACTAAAGCCAATGTAACTTGAATCCCTGAAGGATGGTTGTAAATAAATGGGGGGATCGGCAGTTGGCATCTTCAATGGGAACAGAACAGTAGGGGGTCTGGAAAGACTGAAGCCACACGGAAGGGGCACTTCATCTCTGTCCAGACCCTGAGTGTCTCCAGGGCTGGGACTTTGTCTGGCTCTTCTTTGTGTCCTCAGGGCCTCCATAGTGCTCATCATGCAGTTATGGTCCAGAAAGGGTAGGAGTGGAAGGGTGGACAGGCCGATGAATAGGTGTATAGTGACTGGGTGGCTGTATGGAAGGATGGATGGAGAAGTGGGTAGATGGGTGGCTGGATGGATCAGTAAATGGGCATATGGGCCAATGGGAGGAGATGGATGGATGGGTAGATGAATGAATGGGTCAGACGTCCCAACAGTGGGGTGTGTTTGAACTAAAGATGGGGTTATTGACCTTAGATACCTTACAGCAAAATCCATCTAGGTCCAGGGAGGGGCTGTTCTGTATGAAGATAATACTTTACAGCCCTAAAATGGGAGAGCTTTCTTCTACCCCTTCCAAAATCCCCATCCCAATGCCCAGAGTGACTTGAGCAGGAACACCTATGGGCACTAGGTGGCAGGGTAAGCCTCTCATGGAGGGGTGTGCTGCCTGCTGGAGCTCCATGAGGGCTGGTTCCAGGCTTCCCCTGTGCAACCCTCCCTTATCACCTCCATCACATTTCCTTCCCAGCTTCTCTCTGCACTGGCCCCCCGGGGCCCTCAGGCTCCTCCTAAGTCTCGGGCCTTCCTACCTCCCTTCCCCCTACCTGTCCAGGAACCATCAGCCTAGTATGCTTGGGGTTATCATCCCAAGAGGAGATGTTGTGGAATGGGGCTGTGTCCCCCATGACATGGGGATCATAGCCCACTCCCTGGAAACGAATCATGGCTGAGTTCCATCCCAGGACGTGTATGGGCACATCCACCTAGGAAGTTAGGAGGGTGGGGAAGGGACTGGTCAGAGCACGGCATGCTGAGGAGGCCAACACCAACCTCCACCCTTAATCAGCCCAGGCTGCAGCTCACCGTGTAGGTCTTGGCCTCAATAGGTGAGAAGATCCATAAGACCTGAGCAGTTGTGCCTGGCTGGATCTCCCCTTGGGGGTTGAGGCAGCTGAAGATGGGGTGATTGAAGTTTTTTTCCTGAACCTGCGACAGGATGTTCGTCTGGATCTCGTATGTCACGGGCACCGAGCCACCATTATACAGCTCATAAATCTGCAGGCGGGGTGGGGGGGCAGGAATAATGAAGCCTCCACACTAGCTCAGGGCTGCAAAGCAGAGAGCTTGGGGTTCTGTGTCCACTGAGGGAGGGCAGGCTGATTTCCCTGATGTCCCCCTTACAGCCCCAGAGCCCCCTAACTACCTCTGATTTCCCTTATGGTCCAATGATCCAAGAAGTATATAATTGTATTTTCAGTCTGGGACATTTTAGGATAATCTGTAATTCTTATTTTATTTGCTCTTAATTTACTTTTGCCAAGGTATAAGGGGACACTAAGGCTCGTGTCTCTAGTGTGGTGATTTACAGAAGTGTCCATGCACACACCCTCCAGACCCTTCAGCATCTTCAAGGCTCTCCCTCTAATCACCCGGGAGGCTGCCACTTTCCACGTCTGCCCTTAGAGGCAGTCTTGCTTAAGGGCAGATGAGAGAGGGGAAGGAAGCTATGACATCCCCCAAGACTAAATCCAAAGTGTGGGAATCACAGAATGTCCTGGAAGCAACCCAAGATCTTCTGGTCCAATCCCTCATTTTAGGATTAGAAAATGGAAGCCAGAGAGAGCAAACGGTTTGTTTGGATCTAGGTCTTGCCCTCTCATCTTTCCCAGCACCCACTCTTGAATATGCTGATTTTATTTCTCTAGCCTGGGCCACCTCTGAGCTCCAGACCTGGTATCCAACTTCTGCTCCACAAGCCCTCCCTGCCCCCTCACCAGCCACTGATTGTCTCACAGACATCTCAAATTTGGTAAAAACCAAACCCTTCACTAGAAAGTTCTACCCCCCTCCGCCCCCAGGGAATCTCCTTTCAGTAAATGCTCAAACTAGGAATTCAATACATCTCGATCCCTCCCTTTCTCCCACTTCCCCAAACTGGCCCCAGCAAGTCCCAATGATTCTGCCTCCAAAATGTAAATTAAATCTGTTCACTTCTACTTCCGCTGTCCTCTTATGATCCAGGCCACCATCTGTCATCATCTCATGAATGAAAGTAGAAGCTTGGCCACAGTTGTGGAGATTGGTTGGAGGCACAGTTGGGTCTCCTTGCTCTAGATCTGGGGGCATTTTTCATTGTCTATGTTCAGATCCACAGGGAAGTGGTCTAGTCTTTCAGGAAAGCTCTCCAGGGGGCACTGAGTCTTTGCCTTCCTTTTCAAGGACATAGGTCTCTGCAGCCTTGTTTTGGGGGGGAAGGGGTGGCTTCCAGGAAGCCAGTAAGGTAGAGGGTGGTGTAGGGAAGCATATAGAGCTCAGGGCTAGGGGTCCCACCCTCTCAGGTTCAGAAAGCCCATTCCTCTGACTCTAGGCTGGACGACCAGAGGCCTCTGCTCAGAAATACAAGGACTTCTAAATGGTTAGAAATTTCACAGCTATGGCATGTTTGGGAAAATACTATGTCCCCCTCTGGGAGATTTCCAGTGTACATTTTCAGAGCAAAGGAACCCAATTCCCTCCACTTGATAAAGAAAATTCTATAGTTTTGAAAGGATTCAGTCTCGTTTTTCGCGCTCCAGAAAAATGTCTTTCCTGGAGCAGTGATTTTCAACCTGGGGCTGAGACCTATTAGTGAGCAGACCATGAAAGCAATTTAGCAGGTGGAACAGAATAAAATAAAAACGGAAAACATCAGAATGCTTTGCGTGTAATAGTGTACACATTCATTTGCGGTACTTTAAGTATATGTGTATGTATGTACTTACTGAGTTATTATCCAAAATATATTAGTGTGACTCATGATCAAAGAAGTTTGAAGAATCCTGTGCTAGAAGAGAGACCCCCCTGCTTTTGCATGGGAACACAGGCACAAGGCCCGGCAAAGGGCTTACTTAGCACCAAGCACCAGGAAGCGGAAGCTTCTCACCTTGGATTTCTCCCAGTTGCCCAAACTCAGGATTTGACCTGTAGCCCCACCTCTTAGAGTGAGGACTTCTGGAGGGCAGGGTCTTTGTCACCCTGTAAAAGGCTGATGCAGATACACAGAGATCAGGACAATGTAGACCACTGACCTGCCTTGGGGGCAGTGTGTCGCCGATGGGGACAGGGACGAACTGGTGGCTGGTGGAGGTGAAGTGCACATACTTTTGCTCCTGCTTCACTGTCACACCTATGAAATTTAGCTGGAAAGACAAAATCCGTGAGTAGCATCCTTCCCTGGGAGAAACGGAAGCACCCAGCAGAAAGATCTGGACCCTAGCTCCCCGGGGGGCACAGTTCCCTGCTCCTCTCTCAGGCATCCAGGACAGGACAAGGTCTGGGGTCTCACCAGGATCTCCCGGCCATGGGACACTTTGAAGAGCACTGGGAGGCGATCGGTGCCCACGAACACATGGCTGGAAGGGAAGAGACGAGTCTGGGCTGAGTTATGGAGCCCCGGTACCAGCAGGAGAGCAAAGCCCCTGGGAGCATGTGGAAACCTCTGAGTTGGGATGGCGCAAGAGGGACATGAAACCTCCCCGCCAAGTGGGTGGACGGGGTCCTCCCCCCGCGGCGGGCACTTAGGGTACTCTGGAGTCACACAGTGCAAGGCCAAGCTCCTCCAGGAGCACAGGGAAAGGGAGGGGTGGGGGCAGGGTCTCCAGGACCGGAAGTGTAGGACAGGCAGTGGGAGGAGTACCTGTATTTGAGTTCCACCACCTGCTCTTGCCCAGGACTCAGGCTCCCAGCCTTGGGGCTGATGGAGAACACGCAGTTGTCCTGCACACGCATTTGGTGAAGCTCAGTGGCGTCAAACTCTGCTTGCTGTGCCCACAGCTCCAGGTCAATCTGCTGGTCACTTGGAAAGAGGAAGGCCCTGGAGGAGGGGTGCAAGCCACTTAGAACAGAGAGGCAGGAGCTCTGAGCTGCAAGCAGGGTGGATGCTCCCCCAATTTGGCAAGCTGCCCCGTGCATGGCTGAGCAAACACGGCTATGGTGGATTCTCACTTCATAATGGCCCCCAAACCCAAACCTGGGAACGGCAGCAGGTCCCTGGTGACAAAGTGGAAAGTGGAGATTGGGGCTTCCATTGTGGGGGACAGGGGTCGAGGGGGACTGTGTTATGTGGGTAACGTTGAGCTAGCTAGCCACTAACCCCGGGGGGGGGTAGTTTGTGTGACAAAGCTCTTAGAAAGGGCCATTTGAAGTACCTAAAAATGCCAGCAACACCAACCAGGCACCCCCCCCCCCCCGCCCCGAGAGGGAGGGTGTCTAGGTCAGCGGGAGCATAGGGCAGAGAAGAGATGCCCCAGCAGGGCTGGCGTTCTTGAATCTGGAGCAAGTCTGGACATAGAATTAATGCCCCTCAAATGTCTCACGTTGTAGGAAAGTAGATACTGCACTCTAGCTGGTTGACAAAACAAGCGGTGAAAGGGTCCCCGGGTTACGATCTGAAAAGGAGGACCCCTTCACTTGCAGAGACATGGCACAGAACTGGCCTCACACTGGGCAGACGGCATGAACGGGGAGCAGCCAAAGGGGAAATGCTCAACAAAGAGTTGAGGAAATCGCAAATCACGACTCCCTTGAATCAGTCGTAAATAGTTTCACATCAGCAACGTGATAAACAGTTCCACTCGATACTGGTAAGTTTAAAGAGAATGGACACCTTCAAACAGGTAGAGAGAGAAAGTACGGTTACCACCTTTTGTTGTAGGAATTTTGACAGTGTCTACTAGAATAAAAACAGCATGAGCCCTTTGACTCAGACATTCTCTCCTGGGGAAGTACCCTGCGTGTGCACGTGCTCACGCTCACACACACACAGATGTTTATTACAACTTTCTTTGTAGTGGCAAAAAAAAAAAAAAAACAGTACAGAATGAGTTTAATAACTTAAGGGCCATTCATATTATGGAATATTATGCCAAGTATTACAAAGAAAGAGTTAAGGGGCGCCGGGGTGGCTCAGTGAGTTAAGCATCGGTGAAGCATCTGCCTTGGACTCAGATCTTGACCTCAGGGTCCTGGGATCAAGCCCCTTATCACATCCCATCATTGCATGGGGCTCCCTGCGCAGCAGGGAGTCTGCTTCTCCCTCTGCCCCTCCCCCTGCCCCTGCTCATGTTCTCTCTTTCGCGCATGCTCTCTCTCAAATGAATAAATAAAAAATCTTTAAAAAAAGAGTCGAGAGTTTTATGCGTTGATCTGTATTGATCTGAAGGGAATGTTATTGGCACAATGCTAAGTGAAAATGTTAATGATCTAATGCTGAGCAGAAAGCAGTATGTACAGCATTGTGCCGTTACTGTAAAAAAAGAATTCAAGGGAAACAGAATAACCCCTGGGCTGTGTTTACGTGTGTGTGTTGTAAGTGCTGAGGATGGAAACTCCCTTCAAACCCTCCAACATCCCAGCAGAGTGGACATGTGGCAGGACCTGCTTCCATCACCTTTGTGTCTTTTGACTGGTGAATAAACTGCTTTTGTTATTTTATCCAGGGGATACTGATTAGCAGCAAAACTGGAGATCTTGCTACTTTGGGGTTATCTGGATAGTTTTGACACCTCTGTTTCCCTCGCTGCTCTCACCCAGTCCCCGTCCCAAAAATCCCAACCCGCTTTTCCCTGCCAGTCCTCTGGTGTGGGCCCCCTCACCACTTCAGGCTTCAGGCTGCTGGTCCATTTCTCTCCCTGCACCCTGCACCCTGCACCCCAGGCTGCTGGGGTGCAGCTGGTCCATTTCTCTCCCTGCTTCAGGCTGCTGGTCCATTTCTCTCCCTGCACCCTGCACCCTGCACCCCAGACCAGAGTGGCAGGTCTTGAAGGCAGATCATGTCTTTGTCCCCCAGCCCCGCTTACATCGCCACCATGCCCTCAGGAAGAAGTCCAAACTCTTAGGAGAAGGATGCCAAGGTCCCGATGTTGTGGCCCTTGTCCACCTCTCAAGTCACATCCGGCACCCCTTCCTCCCTATCAATGCTCCAGCCAGGGTGAGCCCTTTTCTCTTACCCGTGTACATACCAGGACCTCTGTCTGGAAGGTTCTTTTTTTTTTTTTTTTTAATTTATTTATTTATTTGTTAGAGAGAGAGCACAAGCAGGGGGAGCGGCATGAAGAGGGAGAAGCAGGCTCCCCACTAAGCAGGGAGCTTGATGCGGGACTTGATCCCAGGACCCTGGGATCATGACCTGAGCCGAAGGCAGATGCTTAACCGACTGAGCCACCCAGGCACCCCTGTCTGGAAGGTTCTTTGCAGCCTCTCTGTGTCTTCTCCCTAAGCTGCAGGTCTAGCTCAGTTGTAGTTTTCTTCAGCACACATCACCCTGCCCCAGACCCCTGCAGCACCCGGAGGGCCAGGCTTGGACCTGTCGGCACCTTGATTCCTAGAAGCCCCCAGTAAACATTTAGCCGAGACTTAACGAGTGCACAAGGGACCAGGAGATGTTAACCAGTGTATCTGATGTCAGTAAGGCCCTCCGCCTCCCTGGGCTGGGAGCAGAAGCATCGGAGAAGACCCAGAGGGAGCGGGGCAGGCAGCTCTAGGCTCCTATTTCCTCCGATGCTCCCCCTCCCACTTGGGGTTCTCATTCTGTCCTGCCTGCTGCTGCCTCCAGGCCAAGTCCACAGTCCCCATTTCTTACTGGTCTTGGCAGGAATAAAACCTTCAGTCTGTTCTTTATGAGCTCAGCAGAGACCAGCTAGAATTTTCAAAAATAGCCTTCTAAGAAATTGAAAGGAAACACAACAACACACAAAACCTAGGAGAGTCAAGCCTTCCAAGGAAGGTTCGCTGTGCTTGGACTCCTGGAAGAAGCACGGACTGCCTTCCTGAACCTCAGATGATCTCCTGATGGATGGGCTCAGCTCAGCGGGCACCGTGCCTGGGTTTCCTCCCACCTCGGTTTCCAGCCACCTGGCCTCTCTCCACAGAGAGTGTGAGCTGGGCTTGCTCCTACACAAACACACTTGCATGCATAATCCACCAAAATACCCTGCTCCATGCCAGGACAGACTAACGCTGCTTTTCCTGTAGCGCCTGGCTTCTGGCCATTCCAGTAGCCCCAGTGAATGGCGGGTCTGGAGCTCAGGCGGGCCCTGGGCCTTCCCCACCAGGCCAGCAGCGCTGCCTGCCAAGCTTCCTCAAGTCATCAGGGCCAGGAGCCCTCAGCTACTCGTAGCCCTGGCCCTTCTCAGACAGGAGCCACGTAAGGAGCCGTGTAAGGAACCAGCCTCCCCAGTTGCCCCCACCCCAGCCAGGGGCAGGACAATCCAGAGTAAGGGCGGCCATTGTACCCCTGATGGTGCAGCCCCCACCCCAGCTTTGCCCCCCCACACCCCAAGACTCTGCTCAGGCAGGAAGGTTCCTGAGATCACAAAAGCACCCCTCCTCCCCCTCCCGCCGCACCTATTTTCCCAGGCCGGGCCCCTGGCTCTCTCTCCCAAGCCTTACCCAGATGGGTGCACTTGTTTCTCAACTCCGTTTAGGCAAGAAAAGTTAGAAGTCATCAAAAGGAAATTTACTAGGAAGCCCAGACACGTGGCAGAGGCAGGGAGGAAGAACAAGAAAAGGCCCTGGCATGGACACAGGATGTTTACCGGGCACAAGTTCGGGCCCCGACGGGAGGAAAGTCAAGCACAGGAAGGTCCACGCTTGGCAGGCTCAGGGCTCCAGGCCTGGGCCCCTGTGCCCGGAGAGGCGCAGCCTGCCCCGTGGCCAGCCTCAAGCCTTCCTGTAGCCCACGTGGCTTCGCCCAGCCACATTTTCCTCCCCGACACTGGCTTCGTGGCAGGCTGGCTGGCCCTGTCCTTCCCCACCAGAGATCTTAACTCGCCCCCATGCAGGCCTGGCCTCCCCAGACTGAAGCTCTGTCGGGGGCACCCCACTGCCTAGCCCACTGCCTGGTACACGGTAGCACTCTGAAGACTTCTTGCTGACTAACCTTTACCGATCTGGCTTTGAACTTGGCTCTGCCTGCTAACGGCTGAGTGGCCTTAACTGAGTCCTTAGCCTCCATCTGCAAAAGAGTCAGCAGAGGAGGATTTTTCTCCCCAGGGTTGGTGTGAGGCTTGGAGGAGAAAAGGCTCGTAAATCAGTGCCTGGCACGCAGCAGGTGTCCAAAAGGATACTTCTCACTCATTAAGCTCTTAGGATGACCGTGCTGGTCTCCACCAGTCTCCCCCACTCTTGAGCCTGTGGACATGCCTCTGGCAGTGACAGGTTTGGAGAGTGAAGGGTGATCCCCAATCCCACGCTGGCCTCCCCGCCCCATCAGTGAGGGGATCCACTTCTCACAGACCCCACAGCCAGGTCCACCCCAAGCCAGAGACGGCCTCCTGCACCTGCCTCCTGGGCCCCTCAGCAGCCCCCTCCAAGCCCGCCGTACCAGTCCAGGGCCACCACGCCGCTGTTCTTCAGGGCCAAGAGCACCACTGAGGGTAGGACCTCTATCGGTGCTGCCCCAAAATTGAAGTCAAGCTTCAGAGGGGTGAAGATGGTGGGGATCTGGCTCGTGCTGTGTGGAGCAGAGAAACAGACCCAGAGACGGATGGGGACAGTACGGGGCCCTCCCAGGGGTGCCTGGCTGGCTGGCTGGGCAATCATCTTCCTGCAGGTGGGAATTGGGAGAACCTGGGACTCAGGGGCAGGGGCCAGACCTTCAGCCAATCCCTGACTTCTCTAGGCCCCTCCAGGGATGGGCAAGAATTTGGTGGGGGGAGATGGGGAGCCACTCCATGGACAGGTCCTGGTGCTGGGGGGGTGTGGGCAGAAAGCTCCAAGAATACCCCCAGATAGGCCCTGCCCCTTCCCCGGGGCCCTCCTCACCTGTGCCGGGTGGGCACCTTGTAGGTGAGCTCCCAGGGCGTGGGGTCACACTCCAAGTAAGCGTTGAGACTGTCCAGGGAAAAGAGGCGCCACAGGTGTTTCCGGGTGATGCCCTTGGCGCTGCCCATGGAGCAGACATCCAGGATGGAGAGTAAGGGGTACACAGCCGTCAGGAAGACGCGACACAGCTCCTGCCTCTTCCCAGCCTCGTCACCTAGGACGGGGTGTGGAAGAGAGGAGTGGCCTCACCTCCCAGCTGCCCTGGGGCGCAGCATGCAGGCTGAGGGGGTAGGACCCCTGGCCACCTGCCCAGGACCCTTGTCAGGAGCAGCAGATGTTTCCCAGGCTCTGGGATGTTTCCAGCAACAGCCAAGCCTCATCTGGTACTTTCTACGTGTCAGGCATTGTCTGAAACGCTCCGCATGCATCACTGTGTTAACTGTGCACCATTACTTGTTTTCAAATGGACTCTCACTAACGGCTTTACTGAGATAGAATTTATATACCATAAAATGAACCCTTTCAACCCATATAATTCGGATTTGTCGTCTATTCAGAGCTGTGCAACCATCACCACTATCTAATTTAGAGCATTTTCGTCATCCCAAAAAGAAGCCCTGCACCAAACGGTTGTCACTCCCCATTGCCCTCCCCCCACTCCCCAGCAACCACCGATCTACTTTCTTTATCTATAGATTTGCCTGTTCTGGATATTTCACATAAATGGAATCATACAACATGTGGCTTTTGGTGACTGGCTTTTTTCACTTGGCATAATGTTTTCAAGATTCATTCATGGGGTAACGCGTATCAGTGCTTTTTTTTTTTTTTTTTTTTTGCACACATGCACACACATACACAGACATCTGCACACCAGTCCCCCAGAGCACACCCCTAGCATGCTAACGCTCACCCTGCTAGCCCTGTCTGGACCCTCAGCACCCTCCCACCCCAAGTCCTGCTCACACAGTCCTTCCCCTTTCCTCCCTGGCCCTGACTCTGCCAGATGGCCCAGGTACCTCTGTGGGAGAGGAGAGAGTAGCTGATCTTCCAGCAGTACTGGGACCGCTGGTGGGGACAAGCAGTCAAGCAGATGGTGTCCTGGGACCGGGGTGGCATGCTCCCCTCTGTGCGGTCCAGCTGCAAGGCTGCTCAGGGATGACCGGGTGGGGCCGAGGGCAGAAGAGGTACTCAGTGCAGGCCAGAGAGTCCCGGCCTCTCCTCCTGCTCCTTTCCAGATACCCTTCCCCTGGGCCAGCAGAGCACTGGCCAGAGAGCAGGCCCAGAGCCAGGAAACAGGGAGCAGAGTCCCTCTTCCCAGACCAGACAGAGAAAACCAGTCTTTGGGTCATTGGCACCTGCTAATGGGTGCCAGCAATAGTCCCATTTTATAGATGAGGCAGCTGAGGCCCAAAGAGTCACCCACCCCATGCCACACATGTAAAAGGTGGAAGCACCAAGTGTTAAGCCCTGCTCTATCTGCCCCCAAACCTTGATCTGGTTAACCATCGTCCCTCACTGCCCTGGCTCCGGTCCCGGCCCAGGCCCAGGCCCGCGTACCGAGCGGGCTGTCGTCCACGACCTCAGGGCTGCACTGCTCCAGGAACAGGCGATAATAAAGAGTGCAGTTGCCATCGTTCAGAAGCATCAGCAACCTGGACTGCTTGCTGTTCACCAGCACGTTCCCAAAATCCAGCTCCTTTTCCTTCGCCTGAGGGCCAGAGTCAGCCAGCCACAGCCCTGGCTTTCCCACCCCTGGCCTCAGACAATCTCCAAGGCAGGGCAGGTCCAGAGGGCCAGAAGGCTCCCATCGCCTGCCCCCTTGGAGTCAGGCACCCTGGGGCCTTCCCTACCACATGTGCCCTGGCCCCCAGCTCCCCAGCCCCACCTGCCACGGTTCTCCTACTCACGGAGAGGCTGCTGGTGATGCCGACACCCACCAGCCGGAGCACGTAGTGGGTGGTGGCGGGGGGCTTGGTGTCTGGGGGCAGACCGGCTTCCCAGACCCACATCCCCACTCGGAACAGGTACTTGGTCTCCTCCAGAGGGCTGAAGGTCCACGTCAGCGTCTGGGGCCACAGAGATCATCCCTTCGTGGGGCTCTCCAGAACCCCCTACCCAGACTCCTGGCCACTGGAGGTCCCACTGCTGGAGATCAAGCTATGGTACCCCTTTCTGAGTGTTTGCCCTGTGCCAGGCACTTTCTATACATCCCTCAGCTCTTCCATCCTTTATCCCCACGAGGTAAGCAGGATTATTTAGTACCTCGTTTTCCGAGACAGAGAAGTGGGGTAACTTGCCCAAGGTCACATGGCTGGCGAGGGGCTTGGTGGGAGCTGGAGTGTAAACTCCTGAAACCAAATCCATAGCCTATGTGGTCTCTTGCCTCCCTGACTACTACCTGGGTTCTTCCAGACACCATGTGTTGGTGGTTCTTGGCCCAAGTTTGGCCAACTAGTCTATAAGGCCCTAAACCAGGGAACGGGGCTCTGCTAGATCGGGCCCCAGCCGGTGCCCCCCCTCCAGACTGCTGCTGGGACCTCGAGGATGCCCCTTCCTCATGCCTTAATGATACCCACCCATTTGGCCCCCAATCCAACTGCTCCAGACCACCTCCCAGCGATCTCGCAGCTTTGGGGACATGGATGGAGAGCAGACTTGCCCCTTGAAACTGGTTCAAGTGCCAGCCCCACCTCCTCATTTGTAATCTTCGTAAATGGCTTTTTCTTCTCTAAGTTTTGATTCTTCTTTGTAAAAAGGGCGTTTTATGACAATGGTAGCCATCTCACCCACTTCTAAGGCCTGGGAAGTGATTACGGATTAAATGGGAGGGGGCACACTGTAAACCTGGCCCCTGAGAGGCATGAGAAAGAGATGATGGTGAAAGCGAAGAGGACCTTGGAGACGGCCCACCCCAGCTCACGTAGACGTCCCTGAGTGCGTGCCTTGGCTGGGGGGCGGGGAGGAGGCAGATGGGAGCATGGGCCCCCAGCCGTGGGGTGGGGCACTCACAAGGCTCTCACTGGGCTGGATAAGTCCCTGAGCAGGCTGGACGGCCAGCATCTTTCGGTGCGGCTGGGAAATCCTCCATTCAAACTCCAGGGGCAGACGCGAGGGGTTGCGGAAGGTGAAGAGGCTGGTGGAGGAGCAGCCCACCCAGGTGGGCTTGAAGAACACGCGCTTACAGGTGTCCAGCTTCAGCTGCAGAGCCTCCTCCCGGCTCTGCATGCTTACCTCCTAGGGCCGGAGGAAGGAGGGCAGTGCCCTGATGTGACCCCGCTGCCCTGGCTCCCCCAAATGTCCAAAAAGCCTGGGCACGGGCAGCTTCTGTGAAGACAGAGTAGGTAGTGACCGACCCAGGAGATGGTTCTTGAAAAGAACTCAGGGACTGAGAGAGGCGGTACAGACCATTTCATGGGCCAGATATGGGCCCACCACCCTGGCCCCTTTCCCTGGCCCAGCCCCAAACGCCCCTCTGCAACCTGCAGATATGAGTCTTATATTGCCCCCACTCATTCCTTTGGGACCTCTGCACCCCATTTCTTGTTCCAGACACCTTGAGGTGGACATGCTGGGCCGTGAGGGCGGGAAAGCTGTTCACAGATGTGGCCGAGGGGTCTCCTCCCTGCTATGGCACTTCCGGGGGAGGGAGGAGCAGCCCCTTGACTACTTTAGGGGAGCAAGAGAGTCCAAACCCAGAATTTGGCTTTGAGAAGGGAAGCCCCAGACTATGGCCCACTCCTCAGGACCCAGTCCCCTAGCCCTGCCTTTTACCTTGAGATACCGGAGGCAAAAATTGAACTGCAAGTAGAAAACATGCTGCTTCCAGGAGTTGCCCTTGGGGTAGGTACAGACGAGGAAGATCTGGTGGGCCCTGGGGGCCACGAGGCCAGAGCTGGGACGCAGGGAGATGTCTGAGCTGCTTTGGGGGGCCAAGTTGAAGGTCAACATCATGGAGCCTTTGTTGATCAACAGCAGGCTACGGTAGGAGGGTTCGTTGGGGGACACTGCAGGAAAGAGCTGGGGTACGCGACAAGAGGGACCCACGCTCAGATCTATGCGCTTCCCTCTCCCCTACCCCGCTGATCTGCACACGGGCACCATAGCCCTCAATATTCCCTGGATGCCTAGGGGCTCAAGGAAGTCTATGTGGGCTCGGGTGGGCTTGTCTCCAAGGAGAGCCAAGTACCTCCACACATCCTCGTCACTACCCTGCAAGCAGGGAATAGAGGGACATAGCTTGGCCCCCCAAAATGCTTCTGTCCTCCAGAGACTTCCAGACAGGGAGATGGAGTGGCTATAGGAAGTGGGCCCAGGAAACGCAGGCATCTGAGACCCCCCCACCCCTGAAAAGTTAAGTAGGTCTTTCATTTTAGGGTGCCCTCAAATCATCCTTTGGAGAATTCACTTTCAGAGATCCTGGTCCAGAAGCTCTGGGGTAAGCAGCCCCTTCTAGATGATTCTCTTACAGATGGCTGAGGGGAACCCCCCTCCGAGAAAGGGAAAGCCCCAGAAATCCCAGCTTCCAAACATTCCTAAAGCACGTAGGGTATGGCCAGCTGCAGGCTAAGAGCTAGGCCGGCCATATCACACAAGGCCCGAGATCGCTGACCAGGGCGCCCGTCCAGCTGGGGCAGATGTGCCCGTGCCCGTGTGTGAGGCAGTGGGGGGCAACACAGGCCCAGAATCGGCTGGACAGCAGTAAAGGCCACAAACTGCTGGGATAAACCCGTCAAAAGAAAGGGACGGGGGTCAGGGAGGGGAACCTCGTGCAGTCAGGGAGGGACTTGAGCTGAATCTCGGGGGTGAAGTGGTTGGGGATTGGAGAGCAGAAGTGTAGCTGGTGAGGGGGCAGGATCACCCCCAGCACAGGGCCCCAGAGTGGCGCCTTTCCAGCAATATGGAGCGTGAGGGCAGTGGAGACGGATGGGAAGGATGACAAAAGGGAGGCTGGGAGAGGTATAGAAGGAGAAGCCAGGACTGGAACTTGGCCGACTGGCTCTGGAGTTGATGCTTTTAAACCTTCATCATCTGGCTGTTTGGGTCAGACAGGGCCTCCAAGGGCTCCTCAGAGAGCCCTGGGAATTATGACTCAGGAAGCCGAGGGACCAGCTTTTTGTGACCCACAGCTGCCTGGGCAATCTCCAAGGCCAGGGGCTCATGGTGGGTGGTCGGATCCCTAGCAGGTGTTCGGCAAACAAGGCACAGACAAATAAAGGAGCTAGAGAATCTTCAACCTCAGTGCAAGAGGCCCAGGGTGTATTTCAGATGGAGCAAGGAGGGGTCAGGGGTCCGAGCCCCAGACTGGCCCACAAGAGAGCCCTCCTTGACCAGAGCCCCAGGTGGGGAGGTTGGGATGGCCTGGGAGGGTGCTGGGATGTATCTGAGGCCAGCAGAGTGTGGACCGAGGCAGAAGCCAAGCTCCCCTGTCCCACCTCCCACTGCTACTGGGGCCACGCTCACCTTGGGGGCGTGCAAGGAATACTGAGGGATGTGGTGCTCCAGGGCAGCATGATAGCTGTGGCCTCGTGCCCGGAGGGTCAGGCACCAGGAGGGACACACGGTACAGTCCTCCTCGATGTTATTGTAGCTCCGCAGGACCTGCACGGGGGCCGGACCCATGGACAAGCTGAGAGTCCTGTGTCCGACTCTGCGGGGCCCCCCCAGCCTGCCCCCCTGTGCCACAGGAGTCCCACACAGGGCACAGAGGGAGGAGAGGGGCTCCCTGGGAGGACAGTGCAGAGACAGCCGTCAAAACCGCTCTGACCGCAGCGCGCCAGGGCCGTGCTAGGCACTCCGCAAATATGCTCTGTAATAACCACAACAGCACCAGGGCAGGGCCGGGGCTGGGATGCACGGACAGCATTCATCCTGCAGGAATGTGCCTAGAGAAGCGACGGCCAGTAGAAACAGAACACGAGCCACAAATGCAAGCCGCAAAGGTAGTTTTACATGTCCTAGCAGCCACATTAACAGAGGGAAACATGAGAAATTCATTTCAGCGATACGTCTTATTTACCCCAATAGATCCAAAATCTTACCATTTCAACCTATAATCAATACATAAGTGATGCGTGATATACCTTACATTCTTTTTGCGCCTAAGTCTTTGAAAGCCGGTGGGTCTCATACGATGTATCTCAATTTGGACTCGCCACATTGCAGGTGTTCAGTGGCCCCATGTGGTTGGTGGCTGTCATATCAGACAGTGCCGGGCCAGAGCCAGTAGCCTAACAATCTCAGCCTTCGTACAGTCAGGTGTCCACAGCCTTATTCCTACAAGCCTCCACAACCCCCCACTGCCAAGATATTAGAACAGAGGCAATTAAAGTCTCAGCTTTGGAAAGCCTTCTCAAAAGTTCAGATACGACCCCAAGTTTTTAGATGAGAAGACCAGGGCTCAGGGACATTAAGGGACTTGCTCAGGGTCACACAGCCGGTAAGGGATGCTTATCTCTCAGCCCCAGCACCCTGGCCGCTGGGAAAGAACAGCAGCGTAGGCAGAGCTGACAAGGAAGGGAAAAGGCAGGACCAGAGATGAGGGAGTGACCAGCGTCTGTGACCAAGAGGCTGGGCTGAGCACGGCCAAGGGAGGTTGTACTAGAAGCCCCTCCCCCCACACACCTAATTACCCGGCCCCCCTGACTTGGTCCCCCAGGCTCTGGTTCCAGCCCATGGCTCTTTTGGATGGACCACTTCCTACTTCAAGGACTAGAGAGAAGCCAGGAGCCCCAGGGAGTGACTCCTTGTGGGCCGAATTTTCCCAAAGGGCTTGACCCCAGCTGAGTTCTCCCTCTGGAGGGAGTGGGAGGCCACATATACGTGAGATGTAATCAGATGGGGCAAGAATCCCCTTGGCCAAGGCAGCCTATGAGCCTGGGAGAAGACAAACCAGTAAGGACCACCGTGTGGCCAAGGAGGAGCTTGGCACATTGAGGATGGATCCCACAGCAGCCCCCACCACTCCCTCCAACCCCGCCCTGCCATTCAAGCTCCAGGGCAGAGAGGCAGCCCTCCCCCAGTCTCTACTGCCCCCACGCACCTTATAAAAAGCAAAGGCCTCGAGCTCCACGGCGTACAGGCAGTTGGGGTAAGGTGGATGGAAGTGCAGGCGCATGGCCATGGACTTGAGTGGAGGCACGTCACAGGTGTCTGGGGTCACCCAGAAGGGGCAGTCAGACCTCTGCGTCCAGACCACCGTGATTGTGCCCTTGGTGTGGTTCATCAAGCACAGGGGGACAGGGTTGGGGTTCTTGGGCCCAGGGCAGGCACCAAAATCCACATCAGTGGGCTCTATGCTGACAGGTGGGGGGAAGATGGCTAGGTCGCTGGTACCATCGAAGAAGTACTCAGTCATGGGAGGAATGAGAGGATACTTCAGGGCTGACGCGTCCGCCAGGTCCTGTGTGGGGAAAGACAGGTGAGCGGGGGCCAAATGCCATTCCTCCTGCCATTGCCCCTCATTTGAATGCCCCTTTCATCCCCAACTACTAATGCTGCCCACAGGACTCTGGGGGAACACAACTTGCCAAGAATTTCTAGAGAAGGGGGCATGAACCTGGGGAAGGGAGCCTGTCTGTAGGGGGCCCAAAACAGTCCATCAAACCTCAGTGGGAATCCTGAGGGCCCCGTTCTCATCTTGCTCCAGCTTCTTCTCCCGCAGCAAGATGCCCAGGATGTCAGGAGGGTAGAACGTAAGGCCCCGTGCCAGGTGTGTGTGGTACCAAGCGAGGTGCTGAGGCCTCAGGATGGCTGGCTTGGTGCTGTCCGAGTGGCAGGTCCCAATCAGGTCCAGGAACAGCGGGTCCTGTGACATTTGTCTGTATAAGGCAGGATTTCAGCCTCCGCCGAAAAGGGACGTGACCAGGTGCCAACTGGTCAGGGCACAATTTGTAGGACCTTGCCCACGGCCCTGAGTTGGGTCCTCACTTCCAGGCTCTCTGCTCTGAGTCCAGTCCCCCCTCTCCCCAGCCCAGCAGCAGCAGCAGAAAAGCCCTTGACCTGGCTTGGAGTGAGCCTTCCTGTGCCGTTGGCCAGGCTCTGGCTCCAAACCCAGGCCGGGGCCCTGGCAGAGATGATCCAGGCGGAGGTTCCAGAATACAGGAGAGTGATCACCCACCAAGCACTGTCTTCATCACTGGGCCTCAGATCGGCTCCTCCAAGGCCCAGGAGAGCCCCTCCACGCCTCCTCCCCCACCGCTCACCTGGTGGTGGATGAGACAGGCCACACGCCGAAAGTAGATGATGGGGTGAGTGGGCTGGAAGGTACAGTGCAAGGTCATGCGGGCCTTGCCCACCAGGGTCCCAAAGGCTGGTCTGATGCCGAAGATACTCTCTTGGCAGTCAATGGCAAACTGGAAGTAGGCTGTGCAGTCCGACTTGTTCTCAATCCACAGGGACTGCTCCGAGATCTGCCCAAGGTTGACCCAGCTGAAGTTGACAGAGCCGTGTTTCAGGGACACATCAGGACCTGGGCGGAGATGGGGCTCCTGTGAGCAGCCCTGCCACCTGGGTGGGGCTGGGCTATCAGGCTCCCCGAGGATGTCTCAGAAAGGGTCCCCCTGATGGGAGGTGGCTCTTCCTGGAGACCAAAGGCTGGGCTGGAAAGACCCAGAGCCCCAGCAACCTGAGCTGACCTCCAAGTTCACCAGGGGTGAGGGCAGGAACATTATCTCCAGGTGTCCCAAACTGATTCCACACTGAGCCCACCAGAGGGCAGCAGACACCCAGGCTGAAGGGCAAGGAGGCATCAGGCCCTCCAGGCAGGCATGGAGCCCTTCCCAATCCTAAATGGGGGCTGCTCCTGGCCCCAGAAGCAGTGCGGTGTCCTAGGGTGGCCAGTACCTCTACAGAAACCAACGACTTTGAGCAGGGTTTGGGAGGCACAGCCAGATGGCATGATGGACAAGTAGTCAATAGTTCTGACGTCCAAGGTCTCGGGGTGAAAGGACACGGACACTAACTTCTCCCCTCCTGGAGGCACAATGCCATTGGTAGTGGGGCACGAGAAGGTATGATCTTTGGCCAGCATGTCTGAGGCTACTTCGATCCGGAAGGGGGCGCTCACCTGTGGGGCGGGGTGGGGGGGTGGCAGGAAGGGTCAGGTCACAGGGTGAGGCAGCTGTCCTTACCCAAGTGCCCAGCTGAGGGGGTGAGGGCAGCTGAGGTCCAGTCTGTGCCCCACTTGTCAGCTGAGCATGGAGGCCACCTCCGCCAGGAGGAAGGAAGAGGCCGAGCTGTGTGCCGGGCGCTGGGACTGCCTGGGGGGCACTCTTTTCTTTCCCAAAGGTACCAGAAATGCTAGCTGTGGTCCTGGAGGTAGGACCACCTTAGGGCTGCTCTTGGAGTTGCTCTGGGGATGGTCAAGGGATACTCCAGCCCAGCCCCCAGCTGAGATGAAAAGACACCTGTTGACTGACACATGCGTGTATCAACAGACGTGGCTTATGTGAGGCTTGGGGCCAAAAGTATGGAGAGAAAGAGGGCATTTGTAAAGGGGATGGGTTTTAGGAGCAGCCCGTCCTGTGGTCCTGCCCCCCGCAGCCCCATACACACACATAGGACACATACTGCCGAAGGGTTATAGAGCTTGATCTGCCTCTCAGCGGTGCAGCCCACAGCAACGGTGCCGAAGTGCAGCACTTTCTGGATGCCTTCAGCATCCTGGTCCTCTGGTCGCTTCTGCTTTATGCTCACCAGCAGCTGGGCGCATTTGGCTGGGGCAGAGATGAGGGAGTCTTGGGAAGAAACCCACCAGGGCCTCTGTGGCCCCAGCGGAACAGTCCCTCGAAGAAGGCAGATATCCCCAGGGAAACACTGGTCTGCCCCACCAAGGAAGGCAAAGCCTGCAGAGCTAGGAGAGGGTGGGAAGCTGGCGGAGGTCCTGTGGAGGACAGGCCAGTGGGGGGTGTAGGGGGGCACATTGAGGCTTTGAGACCCAGGAGGGGCAGCAGGTGGGCTCTGGGGACAGGTGAGGGGTCGGGCCTCACCCACAGCCTGCAACTGGATACTGCTCTTCTGCTTACTGCCCTCTCCATACCAGCATGTGGCCTGAACTTCATAGATGATGGCCAAAAGGGGGTGAAAGGTCACCTTGGTGTAGGAAGCCTGGCCTGGCTCCAGCAGCCCCGTGGTGGGCAGTACATGGAATGGGCTAGAGAACTCCCAGGTGAAGAAGGTGGGCAGGTCCCTGGAGGGGGGTACAGATCAGAGCCACTGGGCTCATTCTGACCCCTGCCCCTACTTTAGAAAGGCAGAGATGCTGGGCTCCTCCTCTCCTCCCTTCCCCCACCAGCACCCCGGGACCCTCCTCACCGAGCTCACTCTCCCCGCCTCTGAGCCTCAGCTGCTCCCCTCACCCCACATTTTCCAGGCAGAACCAGGCCTCGGCCATGTCCCCCACGGCACACATGGGCAACTGCAGGGACGGTGGGCAGATCAGACTGTGGCAAGGCAGGGTGGCCCTCAGGTCCACACAGAACATTCCCTCTTCTTTCTCAAACCAGAGCTGGTCCATGTACTCCTTCTGCAATGTGGGGGGTGGGAGGCCGGGGGTGGAGGCAGTTGTTGATCGGTGGTATCTGCATGGTACTCAGGGACCACACATCCCACCCCAGCTCTTGGACATGCCTCCGACACATCACTGAGGGCGGTGTCCGAGGAAGTGTCCTCTAACACTGTCTTGGTCTCAGAGACAGGGGGCCTTTTTTGTATCTGGGAGAATGTTTTGAGAGTAGGAAGAGGCTTCCGAATCTAAGGCTTTCTGGTGGCCAACACAGTAGCACAGATTTTAGCTCCCAACATCCAACTGGGAACCCCACGCGGTTTAATGAGTTTAGGGTGAGAGCCTCTCCAGGGCTTCCCAAGCCGGAGTTTCTGCTACAGCTGTCGGGATGAATATGTGTGTGTCCTGGTGGGGGAGGGGGGTGCTCCTTGCTGCTCTGCCCTGCTTCCTGTTCCAAGGTCACGGTGCCTGTGTCCCTCCCTGCCAGCGCCCTCAAAATGGCAGACCTTACCTCCTCCAGAGGCCGGAAGATAATGGGGAGTGTGAAGGTTATGCCCGGGCTCAGCAAGATGGGCTGGGGGATGACTGTGAAGAAGAACTTGGTCTTGGGGGACCTGCAGGAGAGAGCCAGGGCTTAAGCACTTTAGGATCAGGGCTCAGAAAACAAGAAAAATCCCCAAGCGCTGAGCTGGGTGGGGAACCAAGGCTGAGAACAGAGGGGCCAGGATGCCGATCCAAGCAGAGCCATAGGCAGGGCTGTAGAGCTTCAGCATGGGTCAAAACCATAGACAGTGCAGACTTCAAAAATAGTCACAGGAAGACGATACTGCCAATAACTCTATGCCAATAAATGTTAAAGTTTAGGTGACATAAACCCATTTCTAGGAAAGTATAACTTACCAAAGTGGATTCAAAAATTAGATAATACAAGGGTGCTTGGGTGGCTCAGTGGGTTAAACGTCTGCCTTCGGCTCAGGTCACGATCCCAGAATCCTGGGATCGAGCCCTGCATCAGGCTCCCTGCTCAGCGGGGAGTCTGCTTCTCCCTTTCTATCTCCCTCTGCCCTTCCCCCCTGCTTGTGCTCCCCCTCTTGCCCCCATCTCTCTCTCTCTCAAGTGAATAAAAAACCTTTTAAAAAAAGAAATAGATAATACATTTTATGACCACCTCACCTAATATCATCAAAGCCACTGAATAAGTAGTCAAAAATCTTCCCACAGAGAAAACACTAGGCCGGATGGCTTCACAGCAAGTCCTACCAAACGTGATAAAAAATAACCTCAGCCTCACCTTCCCAGTAATATAAAATGAGGAAACACTCCCCAAAGTATTCTATGGATCCATCATAATGTTGTTATCAAAATCTGACAGAGGTAGGAGAGGAATGGAAAATTACAGGCCTATCTCTCTCATAAACAAAATGAGAGAGCCCAGAGAATTTAGCATGTATAGAAAGAATAGTGAATTATGACGAAGTTGAGTTTACTCCAGGAAATACATGGTTGGTTCAACAGAGGAAATCAATGTCCTCCACCAGGTTAACAAATTAAGACAGAAAAAAAAAAATCAAATGATCATCTCAATGAAGAAAAATATTAGATAACCTTCAACATGTTTGTGAGAAAAACTCTTTTTTTTTTTTTGTGAGAAAAACTCTTAACAAACGAGGAATAGAAGGGAATGTCCTTAACCTGGTAAAATCTTTAAAAACCCAAGCCAAAAAAAAGGCCACAGGAAACATCTAAACCAATGGTGATACACTGGAATTTTTCACATTGAGATCACAAACGAAACAAAGATAAACATCAGTGGTGAGGGGATCATCAGGGAAAGTATGAACTTTTCAACAAATGGCTTGGGGACATTTGGACATTTGTTTGAGGAAAAGAATTATCGGATCCCTACTTGAAACCATTCACAGACACACACACACAAATAAAATAAAACCATTCACAAAAATCAATTTTGCATAGATAAAAGACAAACATGAAAAGCAAAACTATCGTCTTTAGAGGATACTATAGGAGACTGTCTTCATGACCTAGGTAGGGGGAGAGAAGGACTTCTTAAGCAAGATACAAAACAGCACCAACCACAACATAAAAAGATTGATACATTTGATTCCTTCGAAATGAAGAACTTCAATTCTTCAAGACATGGTAAAGAGAGGAAAAGACAAGTCACAGGTGGGAGAAGATATTTACAAAACATAACTGACAAAGGATTAGTAGCCCTAAGAACTTCTATTAGAGACAGGGGCGCCTGGCATTGGGACTCTTGATCTTGGGGGTTGTGAGTTCGAGCCCTGCATGGGGATGGAGTTCACTTAAAAAAAAAAGACAATCCAATAGAAAAATGAGTACAGACTTGAACAGGAATTTCACAGATGAAATGGTCAATAGCACATGAAAGACACTCAGCTGTATCAGTAAGCTGGGAAATGCAAATCAGAGCCACAAAAAATTACCATTGTTGGAAAATTTTTAAATTCTGACAATAACAATGGTTGGTAAAAATGCAGAGGTGCGGGAATTCATGCGTGGCTGGTGGGAATAGAAATACAAATGAGTACTTTAGAGAACAGTTTGGCTTTATCTATAAAAAGCAAACATGGACACGCCCTAGGTCACAGCAATTCCCCTCCTATGTATCTACCCTAGGAAAAACTCTGTAAGTGAAGATCTATACATGAATGTTGATCACGGTTCCAAACCAGAAACAACCCAAACATCCCGCAACAGAAGAATGGATGAATATATTACAATATAAGCATCTGTTGGAATATTATACCGTGATGACAAAGAATGAACTATTGTTGCATGCAGATGAGTCTTCCAAACGTAACTTAACAAAAGCCAAGGAGCTACAAAAATATATCGTACTATTCCACTTATGTCAAGTTTGTAAGAGAGTAAAATTAAACTGTATCATTTAGGGATGCAAACATAGGTGACAAATCCATTCAATTGAGAAAAGCAAGGAAATCATTATCATTAAGTCAGGAGAGTGGTTACTTTTATGGTAGAGACGATGTTTCAACAGGGGAGTGACACACCATGGGAGGTGAGCTTCAGACACTTACTATTCCATTCGTAATCTGGTCACATGGGCTCCACTTCCAATAATCATTCAAACTGTGCATGTTTTATATAATCTTCTAATTTTATACAATAACTTTATTTTTTTAAAAGATGTATTTATTTTAGAGAGAGAGTGGTGGGGAGGGCCAGAAGGAGAGGGAGAGAGAGAATCTCAAGCAGACTCCCCGCTGAGCGAGGAGCCGGATGCAAAACTGATCTCACAACCCTGAGATCATGACCTGAGCCAAAACCAAGAGTCGACACTTAACTGACTGAGCGACCCAGGTGCCCCTAATTTTATACAATAATTTTAAAGTTTGTTTTCTAAAGAGTGACTGTTTGGGGGGCTTGAGGGATCGGGGGCTGGGTCTCTGATCCCTGATACTGGTACCTGTACGTCATCTTTTGGGTTTTCAAGGACAGATTTTTCAGAGCCAGGCTCTTGGTGATCTCCTTCCCGAGTGTCCAGCCATGCCACTGCAGCACCTCGGCCACCTCAATGCCCCAGATGACCCTCTTCTTCACTTTGTCTTGCTTCTTTGAGAAGCACATGCGAGTGTCCGTCAAGCTGGCAGGCTGTCCAGTTGGCAGGGAAAAGGGGGAGAAGAAAGGACGCATTAGAGGGGTAAGATTCAAATACCCGGAGAACAGGCAAAAAGCTCCCATCCCCAGAAAGCAAGGAATTGACCCGACCCTTGGCCCCTGGGGGATGGTCTGGAGAGAGAAGATGAGGGGCAGTCAGATATTACCATTTCCCAGGCCACTGCAACGGTTTTCCAACGAGATTCTCCATGACCCTTCCCCTGCAGCCTTCCCTGGACCACTCCATTGGGCACTGAGCAGTCTCAGCTGGTCGGTTCTGTTCCTCAGTGCACCCAAAGGTACCAGTCCCCTCGAGGGCTGCCTTCTCCTTTCCTTCCTTCCCATCCTACCCTTTTGCTGCGGAAACCTCGCCTAGCTGGAGTGGTCTATCCCATGTACTTTTTGAGACCACAGGAATACTCTACCATTCCCTCTCTCGTCCCTCAACTGGCTGGTGGAGCAGGGGAAGGAGTCAATTTGCCTTCAAGAAATCCCCACCCCCCGCCATGATGTGGGGGCCACTCCAAGCACTGTTCCTGGCGATGTAGAGGCGCAGTGTGCCAAAGCTTCCCATCTATAAGGGAAAATCCTTCCCGAGCTGATCCCTAGTCCCATCTACCTGAGGAGGGAGGGGGATGGAGGGGGCAAAGCCAAGGTGAAGGGAAGATGAACAAGGTACCTCTTCCTACCACAGTCATTGCAATGAACATTCTCCTCACTGCCATGTTATTTTATCTCTGGCCAAGTATTGCTTCTATATTGTTACTTAACATAAAGATATATTCATCCACTGGGCAAATATTTGTTGACTACACATCACACGCCAGACATTGTGCTAGGCGCCAGGACTACAATAGTGAACAAGACAGACGCATCTCTTCTGTCTTGGAGCTTACACTCTCAGCTTAAATATTTACAGAGAGTGTCAGGTGGCCAATATAGTATTTTTCTTTCCTGGTTGACCCATGGAGGAAAGGTGACATGGGTGAGCCAGGGTAATTTATGGTAAATATCAGTTGGGACATCAGTCAGGGTCCAATCAGGAAAACAGAAGCCACCGTGGGTGTTCAAAACAAGGAATTTAATGCACAACCAGGGCACAGTGAAGTAACCCAGAAGCTAGCAACATCAAGAAGCTGCTACGCACTAGGTTAGGGGAGGTACTGGGGTTCTCACAGCCCCGAGGCCTGTCTGGTAGGGACTGGAGTCACGGGGAGATGCAGCTGCTGATGGGAATACTGTCACGAAAGTGGGGGTGGGGGAGAGAAATGCCCTGGCTCCTCCCTTCCTCCCCGCTTCCAATCTCCTCCCAGGTCAGCGCAGAGTGGGGAAGGGCCATGAGGGAACATGGGGCAAACAGGCCTGGAATGGCACAGATGGAGGGGTGAGGTGGCCCCCGGTCCTCAGGAGACACAAGAATGCACACACAACACAGACACACATGGCACCCCACACAGTCCTACCCCACAGTCACACTCCTTGACAACACCCCCCCCCCCGCCCCTGTGATGTCAGCCAAGAGCTGCAAAAAGTCAGCAACATCCACATCTTGGTCAAGCACAAGGGGTGAAGCCCAGAAGAACTTTCTGAGGCAAGAGAGAACCCTTGACTACTCTCTCAGCTCTGACTGGCACCTCCCCAGAGTTCTTCACATGCACCCCCATCCCCCACGGCCACTCTTGTCACTGCCCCCACTCCAGGTGGCTTGGTGCTCAGTGTACGCAGGGTCTAGGGTTGGGGTCTGGACAGGGGGAGTCAGGTCCTTCCAGATTCCTAAGCCCCCCCCGACCCCGGTCCTGCAGCGCTCCACCCCCCCCCCCGGACACGTGCTCACGCGGGCACTGGTGTTGCTGCTGCAGGCACTCAGCGCCACACTGCTGCCAGTGACAGTGGGGACGGCCACTGTGCTGGTGCTCAGGCAGGAGCCGGAGTTCATGGTGCAGTCCCCGCTGTCCCTCGTCTTCATCAGGGGGCTTGAGGCTGCCTGGATGAGCATCAGCCACCTGGAACACAAGTCCAAGGGGAGCACTCTGGCTGAGCCAGGAGTTCCTGCCAACGAGAAGCTAGGAAGAGACCAGAGGGGACACAGGAGGGACATCAAAGAGAGAGGCTCGTGGAGTAGACTGGCCTGGCTGTGGCCGTCGTTATCACAGGCGGGCCCAATTACCAGCTGTGGCACGGAGGTACGAGGTGGCACCATGAGCAAAGAGCCGGGATACAAGATCCAGCGCTTTGCCCGGGAGCCTAGAAACTCATCATTCAGGAGAGGGACTCAGGGATGAGGCCCACCCAGCCCTGCCTGCCATGGCCACCCTTGGCATTTCTCAGGAAGCCCCCAGTGACTGTCACTGAAGCACACATATTACTTTTATCTGGCTTTTGCTCTCTACTTGTTTCTTCGGAGTGTGTCTTGCCTCCTGTGAGAAGGAGGAGAAGGGGCAACGAAGAGGTAAGTGAGACTGGATGGTTCTTGGTCTTTCGGGTTTCCTCTATGGGTATGCGACCTGCAGTCCAGGCTTAAAGTAAGCATTCACTGAAATAATCACTCAATCCAAAGATAAGCGAGTCAACTTCTAGAGCAGAGGGATCCATGGAGAGACTGTAGCTGGAAATTATATGCAAATATATGCAAGGGTTATATGCAAATCATATGCAAAATGTCATATATATATGGCGAAATGCTTTTTTTCCAGGGAAAGTGTCCACAGCTTTCACCAAATACTCAAAAGGGTGTTTGGTCCTGCTCTAGGGAACACACGCGGGGCCTAAACTCCAAATCCCCTCTTCCTTTAGGAGACTTCCTTCAGCACACACACACCCAGGTGTGGCTACCATATTGGACAGCATCCATCTAACACCTTTTTGAACATATGTATATTTTTCAAACTACTCAGTGTCCTTCCCCACCTCTTTGAATAATAATCGCAAAAAATAGTAACAACTTTTACTGACATTTACTGAGAACTTATGTGCCAAGCAGTGTTGTAAGGCCTTCTCATGTATTTTATTATTTTTTAAGATTTTATTTTTAAGTAATCTCTACACCCAACGTGGGGCTCGAACTCACAAACCTGGGGTCAAGAGTCACATGTTCCACCAACTGAGCCAGCCAGGTGCCCCTTATGTATTTTAATCTTTACAACAATTTATGATGATATGTAAGCTGTCTTTTCTTTGGCCTAAAATTCTCTCTTTTCTGGGCACCTGGGTGGCTCAGTCGGTTAAGTGACTGTCGATATCAACTCAGGTCTTGATCTCAGGGTTGTGAGTTCAAGCCCCATGTTGGGACTCCATCCGGGCGTGGAACCCACTTAAAAAAAAATTGCCTCTTTTCAAGTTTGGGGTTCAGCTTTCAACTCCTTATTATAACATATTACATTTTTGTCAATGATTTTATGGTTATCCTTTAGAAATTTATACAATTTCATCAGACACTCCCATCCCCTCCCCACCACCATCCAAAGCAAAAGATTCTGTTGATTCAGTGTTTCCTAATTGGCAACACCTCCAAAACCTCTGGAGAATATCTTAGATTCACTCACTCACTCATTCATTCATTTATTCATTTGCTCACAAAGCATTTACTGAGTACCTGTTATATGTACAGTGCTAGGCAATGGACAAGACAGGCAAGGCCCCTACCTTCCATTATAAAGAGGATATTCAGAAGGAATCAAAGAAATGCCAGCTGGGGAGGCAGGGAAGAGAGTCCCATTACTTTTCAGCTATTGGATGGCTTTGAAGTCCTCCCTGACTCAGTAAAGTCTGTGACATCAGGGGATTCTATAGATAGCCAATACCCCAGAGCTCTGAAAAAGTCTCCAGTCAACACAGGTAGAAGAAATTAGAGACAGTGGAGAAATCTGGTCCAGATCAGGTCTTAGGGCTTAAGGAAGAGAGCGCTAGTCCCAGAGAGCTGCATCTGCTCAGGTTCACTGAGATAGGCAAGCTTCTCCATCTCCTGGAGCCTCAGTCACCTCACGAAATGAAGGTTATCTTATTCCACAAAGTTGATGTGAAGTTGGAATGAAATAGGGGATTTGAAAAAGCCCTAGAGGAACCAATGTTACTGTAATTAACAATCATAATTTCCATACTCGGTTGAGCTACTCTTCCAAAAGACACCCATCTGCAATCACTGTGAAGACACTGGGCAGTGTAGGTGTTGTTTTTAAATCCAATTTTCTAATCTTGAGGACTTTAAAAAATATATATCATCAGCTTCCTTTATTTGCCTCATTTCCAACGTAAACATTCCTAAGATGACCAGTGGGAAAAAAGTGGCGGGTCGTCGCGTAGTGTGGAGTGGAAAAGAAATTGGTAAAATGAAGTGATAAAAATACTTAAGGTCGTTCCTCCGTTCTCCAGGATATCCCCAGGCTGAACTCACCCTAGTCTCAGTCCCACGGGGCTCTCTAAGGGACATGGAGGGGACCCCCGGCCACAACTTCCCAAAGGAGGCGGTCTCCCGGGACAGATACCTTCGGTGGCCACTCGCGCTGTTCCCCTGGTCCTGGGACCAACCCTCACAACTCACTCTGCCGCCATGTTGTCGTCTCCATAGAGACAGGACGCTCAGGCCACGGCGTCTCCCGGTATCCCAGGACAACGACGGCATCCCGAAAGAGTCATGCTCAGGGAAGGCGAAAGCACCGCCCAATTTTAATGCTTACCCTTTTTTTATTCTCTGATTTTCCCGACTGGTAGCCACTCAGCTTCTAGCAGCCGCAACATGCAATGTATAGTCTCCTAGTTGTCGTGACGTCCTCGCAGTCCTTATTTTAGTAGACGACCAAATTCATAGGCGGTTACTCCACGGGCTCGTTACCGGAGTGGGAGCCGTTCCAGTTCTTTCCGGCCGCGCGATGGTGACGTAGGGTCAGAATCTCAACCGGAACTTCAGTCTGTGATCGCGATTGTTAACTTGAAAGCGCCCCGTAGTTATTTTTCATTTGCATATTGCTTTACGACTGGAGTCCTCCTCCCTGGCACCAAGCTAACTCTATTCTAGGCATCTGGAGGTTAATGTATGACGAAGGCACTGGTATGCTAATGTGGATTCTTGGAAGCGCATTTGTTGATTTGTCCGCATTTGCTTTGTGGAAAAGGTCTGTAAAATAACAAAAACTCAAGGGAGTAAACTTTAATCTAATTGGCTTTTTTTTAATGGATTTTTGAATTGGGCAACATCCCATCTACCAAGTAGAGGGGAGCTCCAGGGAGTTACGCAAAATGGAAGGTTTTTATAGACAGGAGGGTGGGACAAGATGTTATTAGCAAAGGAAAAGGAAGGATTATTTCAGGCAAGATGGCCTTCCCTTATGGGGAAGGGCAGGGGCTCTTATTACAGATTATTTATCTTCTTTTGGGGGTTGGAGAGACCACCTGTGACAGATGACCTCATTGGTGCTGACCAGAAAATTCCTGTCTGACCCGTTAAGACTACATTTCTGGGGGAGGTTGAAACTTGGTCTAAGTGACACCATTGTGGGCGTGTGATTTTCTTTGTAACAGCTCTAATTTGGTGAAGACTCCTTAGGTGGGTGAAGCTGAAAGCCTCAAAGTTCATTCTGAGCAATTAAAGATGTTTCACTACCCAGGACAGTGATGGGGGGTGGTGTTACAGGGAGAGACCTTAGTGAGTCTAGGGGTAAACCCAGAAAATAAACTCTCATTTTGGGAAAGTTGGCATTTACTTGTGAAAGTAAACAATGGATGGACTAAGATGACAAAGTGGCCTGAGTTGGCCTGGGAAATCACATGGCCAGAGGCCGGCTGAACTGGAGAGAAGGGGCAGGCCAGGGGGCCCGTGAAGTTATGCCAGCACCATTAGGTCTGGAATTTTCTTGGAATCAAGGAACATGGAACTCAGTGAGCTTTTCACCGGTTTTAATGTTATTCTCAGAATCTGAAACCTGCACTTTGGACATGACAATGTCTATGCTGTTTGTAGTTTCTATAATGATTTCCTTTTTGTTTTCCTCTAAGCTCTTTTTGAAATGGTCAACCTGACTCAGCTGGACCTTAAGGACAGGGAAAGGGGCCTGTTTTTCCATTCTTAGGCTGAAAAGAAATAGGAGCAGTGACTCTGCCGACAGGGCTTGGTGGTGGTCTCAGGAATCCCAGCAAGAACACCCCAAGGAGGTGGGAAAGCTCATGCTAGGAGCCATGTGTCCTTGTGCCTCTTCACCGAAGGAGTGTCCCTCCACAGCTCTGGTGTGCCCAAACCTTGGTGGATTCATTGTCCTCACCCTGTGTGCTCCACTTCAGTGGGGTTCTGGCTTCCTCCTGAGAATTCTGCTGGAGAGCTCTGAACTTGACTGACACAGTGGACTCCCAGAAAGAGGTCCAAGCCGGACTTTGCTCCAAGAGGCAAACAACATGAAAGGGGTGTGGCAAAGGGTTGAGTCTCAGGAGGAGAGAGGAAGCTGAGTTTGCTTTGGAAGTCCCCCTTTCCAGGAGGCCAGAACCCATGGGAAAAAAATGGGTGCTAGGTCCTAGTGACTGTATCTTCCATGGACCCAAGAAAGACAACAGGGTGGGTGCTGTTTGGTTCAAGGCTGTGAACAAGGGTGGGTGATGATTCAGGAAATTGATGAGGACCGGGATGTGGGAGAAAAGGAGGAAGGAGGATGGGTAGTAGGCAGACTTGAATCCTTTTGTCTGGAAACCTTGGCTGGAGGTAATAAAGATAAAACACACACTCAGTAATTTTGGCTTCAGCACACTCAAAAATATCTTTTCTAAATCCTCCCTCTCTTCCCCCACCAAATAGAATAGAGGAGATTCTGGGCTGGGAAATCAGACCTGAGATTAATCCTGACTGTCACTTATTGACTGTGTGACCTTGAACAAGTCACATGACCTCTCTGAGTCTCAGTTTCCTCAACTGTTATATGGGGATAATTATCAAAAGACTCGTGTAGCAGGACGCATGGGTGGCTCAGTCGGTTAAGCATCTGCCTTTGGCTCAGGTCATGGTCTTAGGGTCCTGGGATGGAGTCCCAGGTTGGTCTCCCTGCTCAGCATGGAGTCTGCTTCTCCCTCTCCCTCTGCCCTTCCCCCTCCTCCTGCTCATGCTCTCTCTCTCAAATAAATAAATAAAATCTTAAAAAAAAAAATGGGACGCCTGGGGGGCTCAGTCAGTTAAGCATCTGCCTTCGGCTCAGGTCATGATCCCAGGGTCCTGGGATCAAGTCCCGCATGAGTCTCCTTGATCAGCGGGGAGCCTGCCTCTCCCTCTGCCTGCCACTCTCCCTGCTTGTGCACGCTCTCTCTCTGACAAATAAATAAATAAAATATTTTTTAAAAATCTTTTAAAAAAGGCTGGTGTATGGGCGCCTGGGTGGCTCAGTCGTTAAGCGTCTGCCTTCGGCTCAGGTCATGATCCTGGAGTCCCTGGATCGAGTCCCGCATCGGGCTCCCTGCTCAGCAGGGAGTCTGCTTCTCCCTCTGACCCTCCCCCCTCTCATGTGCTCTCTCTCATTCTCTCTCTCTCAAATAAATAAATAAAATCTTTAAAAAAAAAAAAAGGCTGGTGTAGCGACAGAGTGATCAGGCATGTGAAAAGTATTTTAGGCATGATAGACAATCAATAAAGTTAGACGCATGTGCATGCACAGAAGATGGTCACTCACCAAATGGGAGGTCCCTATAATTAAGCCACTCGGTTTTCTGTGCACCCTCCCTTCCTACCACTTCCTAGCCTCTCTGCTCCACACTAGAGAGGCAGGAAGTTTTTCTTCTCTCCACATCCCCCTCTTTTGTTTCTACAAGAAGGAGCCTGCCTTGGTGCTCTGGGATGGAGAAAGACAAAAGGAGGTACCAGAGTGATTTTCTGTCCAGTTGGCAAGTCAACCCAACTCCAGAACCTGCCAAGTCCCCTCCCATCTTCCTTCCCTGCAACTCTGACTCCATTTCCAGTGTTGGTTCTGAAATCAGGTCTGCATCCAAGATGTACTTAACCTAGGGGAGGGAGATGAGGAGGTGAGTCCTCCCACAGAAATTTCTGACCTCTGAAATTAGTGAGAGCCCAACCTGAAGGGTGAAGAGTGAGAGAAAGCTGCAGCTAAGAGGGCCACTGGGTGATTTGGGGGCTGGATCTAAGAGCAGGCATGGAGCACTCTCTGCATTAGAGTGCCATGGTCCTCTGAAGCTGCTGGGGGTGGGGAGCATGTGTCAAGAAGTTGATGGAGCCTCCAGCCTGAAAAGGCTGCCAAGGCACAAAACTGGCAGAGGCTGGAGGGAAACTGTCATATCACAAGATAATTCAAATGAAAGAGTTCCATGCTACCTAGGAGGCCCCCTCCCCACACAGGGTTTCCTACACTTTTGTGCCAACCTATACTCCCTAGATAATTTGATCCCTCCATTCATTGTCCCCACAAAAGGGTAGATAGACATGCAAGCCAACATTAGGTGGATGGAGGGAAAATGACATGAGGCTTAATCCCAGGAGACTTGAGTTCAAGTTCAGGTTCTACCATCTGAGAGCTGGGTGATTTCAGGCAAATTATTAAACATTCCAGAGGCTGACTTTTCTCATCTGTAAAATGGGGGCAAACAAGGATAGTATTCAAAATTCTTAACAATTGGTAAAGTATGCGTGCCAAGCTATGGTAATGGATACCGGCTGGCCTTAGAGCCAGAGCAGGGTCCTGGTTGCTCACATTATGCCAGGCTTTAACCCTTTTGTTGTTGGGTCATGGGGAGAGCTGGGAGTAATGGTGAGGGGACAGGGAGAGCAGCCACAGCAGAGGAGGACTCAGCCAGTGACTATTTCCCAACTGGTACCAAAGTATTTCCAGATTTTAACAACCAGTAGAGCTATAGTGGATAGTATTAGTTGCAAGTGAGACCTGAGGAAAAATCCTACCTCACCAGCTGCTGTATACACAGTTACTTATTTCTAGCCAAAACTTGAAGTGTCTCCCCCTTGAATTCCTCCTCATTGGTGAAGAATCAGTCACCACGTCTAACTGCTCTTCCTTTCTATTCTGAGCAGTGCTCCTTCTCCGTGTTAGCTTTCCCAGCTGTCTTCCCCTAGACCATCTCCTCCTCTCTCCAGCTACACGCCTCTCTGCCCAGCACCATGGACAGCTCTCGCTGACCAGCCCATCCCAAGCCATCCCCTTCCCCCCTTGCCTTCTGTCCCTACAACTCTGACCCACCCCAGTGTGGAACCCCTGAGGTATGAACTGAATGAGGGTCATCCTTGAAAAGATAGTACAGTGGACTGATTAAGAACAGCTCTGGAATAAAAAAGTTTGGATTTGAATCCCAACCCCACCAAAAAACTCTCAATTCTATGATCTTGTTCTTTTGCTTCTGTAAGACCCAGTCTGTTCATCTGTAAACAGGGAAAACTAACACCTACCTCAAAGGTTGTGAGCTTTAAGTGTGATAAAAGATTTAAAGAACTTAGCATCATGCCTGCCTTATTATATGTTCTAAATAAAGGAAGAACATCATTATTCTGTGACTTTCTATCCTATTTAATTCCTCAAACCCTTTTCCAATCCATTTCTGACCAGGGCTCTCTCTCAAGTAAAAGTATCGTTAC